TATATTATAGCAGAGAAAAAATTAAAATTTATAAATATTAATCTAATACAATATAATCCAATATAATATTAATTCATACCAATATCATGTAAGCAAAAATTTAGAAAATTTCTTAAAAAATGAATTAACATTGATATAAGATACTTTATACATTTGTTATTATTTTTAATACAAATAACACTTAAAAGTTAATAGAGAGTAATCCTCTTTTTAGGCCTTCTGTCGATAAATCCGTAATGTTATATATTTTTATTGTGTTTTCCTTGTCATCCTCGTTATGCAAAGTTGAAGAATTTGATTTAATGATTTTTGACATATTTTTCATTTTTGTTCTCCTACTCACTTGATTAAAATTTTCCATATTTTTCAGTATGCTCTTGTTTTCATTCACCTATAATTGATAAGAGAAACACTTTTATTATATGATAATATTATTATATGATAATATTCGCCACTTATAAAGAAAATACTTAGATATATTTGATATAATACATTTGAGATATTCTCAGAATCTTTGAATTCGTCAATTTTGGATATTTGAAAATGTTTCTTAAATCGTTCCTGATATTTTCTTTTTTCATTGTGTGCTATTTCCTTATGTACATAAAAATCGCCTTTTGTGGGAAATATTGTGCCTAAAAAAAATAATTTCATAAAATATTATTATATTATTATATTGACCAATATATGGAATAAAAAGCTTAAAAAAATATTTAAAGAAATTAGAAAATCATTTTTTAATAACTAGATTAATATGTAAATATAATTGTGTGCGTTTGCGCATGTACATGTATGAATGTTTTACACACACACACACACACACACACACACACACACTAAAAAAAAGAATGAGATCTAGCTTAATTTCGAAGATATTTTATTTCATTGACCAATATATATTAGATAATTCTGTATATCTGCAAGAGAAGAGTACTTATTATTTTAATAAAACTTATAATGCAAAACAAAATTTTATTTCATTTTATTAAAAATTTCAGATTCAAATATATTGTAAAATCTGAACTAACTAACTTTTATAAATATCTGATTATTAGAATTTTTAATTTTATCTCTATTTGCTCTGATTGAAGAAAGTTCAGTTCTCTTGATGACTCTTGATTATTAACTAAGTATTTCATCATCTAGTATGTAATTAAAATATATTTACCGCAGCATATTTTTTCGGAAAAGTATTTTCGTGAAACCGTTTATAATGTCTTTCAGCATTATAACGTCGCTTCGATATTTCATTGCACTTGAGACATTTATAAAGTTTGTTCTCGTCATCTATTATAACTTCAACTTTGGTATCGGTATCTAATTTATTGGCCATATCTGAAAAATATTGTTTGTATTATATCTTTTATGTCGAAATAAATTTGAATATATAGATATTTTTACAGTACAAACAAGTCTTTAAACAAGTCATTTTTTAGCCATGCTCAATTATTACGATCGTTCGAACATGGTTGAAGAATGATCCATTATTTCAAAAATTATTTTACACATGACAGATCAAACAGATCTCAATTTCTCGTTTACATTTTACAAATTTCAGGATCACGAAATTATAATGTTTTAAGGGAAAAAATAGGGAAAAAACTGTATATGGCAATTAATTTCATATTATTTCCCACAAATGATATTCTAAATCATGGCTGCAACGAGACAGCTGAGCTTTAACTCGACCTCCATTTGCAATTAAAGAAACATATGACTAATTATTAACTGAGTTTTCATTATATTATGTTGTATAATTTTTTCCTTTTTCTTTTTCCTTCTACTTTAAGTAGCCATAGTCACTTAAAGGTTGGCAAGGGACACTATGGAAATCTCTGTTTTAGATGAATTCTTGTTCGTCCATATTACGGTTAAAGTAGAAATTTGCAATGAGATTGCGAAGTTTATAATCAGAATAATCATCCGCATGATGATCTCGCATGATGCGCATGATGCGCATGATGCGCATGATGCGCATGATGCGCATGATACATCGTTTATCCTTGTTATTTACAGTATGTTAAATAAAGATAAATGGCATGCATCGTGCATTATGCGCACGATGCAAGAAACACGGACGTACGGATGCACGGGCACCATGATTGAACTCGAACATATATCTGCGCAGATTATCCATAGATAAATAGAAATAGGAATAATCTTATTGGAGTTGGCCGCCACTCCTACTAACTCTTAACAGTTTGAAAGCAATTTGTTATATAATATGTAACTCAAATATATTTACTGCAACGTATTTTCCTTGGAAAAGTATATACTTCACACGGAGCCTCAATTCAGAAACCATCATCTCGCCAGTAGACCGAATACTGACAATGGCGAACCCCCTGCGAACCGCTACCCTCTCTTCTATCGTGACGCAGTTCACGTTCGGCGGTTCGACTTTAATGTTTCGGTCTCTTTGACATACCGCTAATCCGTACATTCGATTACACAATGCCAAAAACAACGAATATAAGAGGAAGGCAAGATTTTTTGTTTTAAAAACATCTCGAGTTTTCGAGAAATGCTCATGCCGCCTTTGAAGTAGGATGCTCTAGATGAATAGTGCGAAAACGATTGTTACGCAACTTAGATCTGAAAAAAAGTTATTTTCATCTTTATAATATACATCAAAGTTAGGACCTTAATATATGCAAATAATATATGCAAAGTTAGAATGATTGAAATTGTATTTTGTAATGTAAATAATTATCTAAAACGTATTTTATAAAATATAAAACGTGTGATTTTATCACATTTCAGATTTTGTCAAGTATCTGCAAATAATCAACTTTTGTGAATTTGAAGGAAAAAATTTTACTTGTTCAAGAAGCATATTGAAGGGCGATATTCTTTCCAAAAATTGACCATTTGGATTTATTCTCTTTGGCGAAATTGCAAAGAATATTTACGTCATGAATTTGTATTGAACATGTTCTTTGAAATGTGTGCATTTGTATTTTTCTTAGGAATTGCTTACATTTCGATCAATCTGAAAAACTGTCATGTATTATAACACTCAGAAAATTATAGAAATTCAAATTTTTGACGATTACAAAGAATACGTTCTGATTTACGCTCAGAATCTTCGTGAGCATTTGTTTAACATTTGATAAACAGCAAGGATGAAATGATTAGCATGAATCGGAACGCAAGCCAAATGTCACATAAATGAAGTTAAATAATTATACACATACATAACATGTCCATAATTACATATGATTATATATAATTATATGAATGTGTATAATTGTATCAACACTTTATATATTTATATCTAATTATATATGGAAAACCATTTTTCCATTGAATCCAACGGTGCTATTAGCTTTTATTCAAATCAAATTTTATACATACATTATTTAAACAAATTATATTTATTAATATTGACCATAGATTCACAATCGGTGAATAGAAACCATACCAACCGTATAATCGGAACCATTTTAGCTCAAAAGTCTCCACGCCATTTTCGGCACTTTTAAGTCTAAGTTTCTTAAAAATGTGACGTGATAGAGCAATTTCATTTGCAAATTTATTTTCAGCGACAAAAAATCTATAAGATTTATCTTGTTTGGTTTGTGATTTAAAAAAAAGTTTAAATTTGACAAATAATGTTATCATCTTATCATGCAAAGGTAAAAATTTAATATTGCATGATACCGACACATTTATCGACATACGAATAAGCGTGAATCCTTTTTATCTCTGAAAAGAATGCAGATGTCCTATCGGAATATATATTTTTTGCTTGATAAAAACAGAACTTTCGACTCGCGGGATGACTTATAAACTTTCTTGTTGATATCTAAAAATGCGTGATGTACTTTGATCTCGTCGGGTGGGGATCGAATTAAAGCGATCGTAACGAAAAGTTTGCGCGTTTAATTTGTATTCAGTTTGTATTCGGCGTTGACCAACGCGTATTCCGAATTTCTGTACTTGTTACTTGTCCACGTATCAACGAGTACCGTTACAAATTGACATTTGTTACGCTACATATTGCAAAAAGATGATTAACACGGGGTAAGGGATGAACTCTCGCTATATTGCTTGCTATCTTAACAATAACTGTGAATGCTGCGAATATTTAGTATGTATCTTATATTGCTTACATAAATTTACTTCCGGAATGACTTAGCAGTATGTAACACATGATAAAAATGTTCATTTTACCCTTTCACTGCTTGTACAATTATGCAAAACAGAATGTTAGCCGTTATTTCCTATCAGATTTATTTAACTCCAGAAAATTGGATTTCTGTACATAGACGCTAAGGTTTCAAAATGTGAGCCATACGATTGTTATATTTACTCAATATACAGTATCAATTATTACTTTAATCTACTATAAAAAATTAAAATTTATTATTATATAACGTTTATATGTCTCATTTTGAAAGACACATGTGAAATGTACATTATGTATCTTTAAACTTATTAGAGGCTATACAATTTTTAAAACTATATACTACAATTACAAACTATACAATTTTTAAAATATATAGCATTTAGCATTATGTCATTTAAACAACAATATTATTATGAATGTTGGATTGAAAAGGAAGTTTTATTTGTTATTGATATGTGACAGGAAATTGGCTGGTCGTACTATTTTCATTACTGGAGCTTCAAGAGGTATTGGGAAAAGTATAGCTCTCAAAGCAGCGAAAGATGGTGCAAACATTGTTATTGCAGCAAAAACTGCTGATCCACACCCAAAGTTACCGGGTACCATCTATACAGCAGCTAATGAAAGTAATTGTTAATTAATCTTTTAACAGAATTGTGATTTTGATGATCTTAATTTACAGCAATAATTTATATTTAGTAACTATTAGTTTATGAATTAAAAAATTAAAAGTTCCTAAAATGCTTAGTTTTAATGAATAGAATAAGGATATTTTTATAAATACATGCAAATGTATATAATTGTATATAAATGTATAATTCTCTTTTTTATTTAATTTAATCAGAAGTGATTAATCAGAAGTTAATCTTCAAACTTTTCCAGAATTTAAAGATGTTGTGAATTTAAAGATTTATGTAGATTTATGTAGAATATATTTTTTAGTTGAAGCAGCTGGTGGTAAAGCTTTACCTTGCATTATGGATGTACGTGATGAAAAACAGGTGATTAATGCAGTAGAGAGTGCAGTTGCCAAATTTGGTGGTATAGATATTCTTGTAAATAATGCAAGTGCTATTTCTTTGACGAGTACTGTTGCTACTGAGATGAAAAGATATGATCTAATGAATAATATTAATGCCAGAGGAACTTTTCTCGTGTAAGTTTTATTTTGTAATAATCTTAATGCTTGAGTATTTAGTGTTAAATTAACTAAACCTAACAATTAAGTTTGAAGAAAATTTTAAAGTTTATATTGTACATTACTGAATGATAACTGAATTTATATTGTAGATCGAAAGTTTGCATACCATATCTGCAGAAAGGTACAAATCCACACATAGTTAATATAAGCCCGCCATTAAATATGAACCCTATTTGGTTTAAAAATCATGTAGCATATACTATGGCTAAGTACGGAATGTCTATGTGTGTTCTTGGAATGGCGGAAGAATTTAAATCTGATGGCATTGCGGTTAACGCTGTTTGGCCAAGGACAGGTATGTTATATTTAATTTTTAATCAATAAAAAAATAATCATATCGTCAAAAATATTACAATGCACATATATGTATATCGAATAACATATATTAATATATTAATAACATATATTAAATAATATGTCATTATGTAAAATTAATCTATAAATTATTTTATTTGCAGCTATACATACTGCTGCAATGGACATGTTATCGGGTCCAGATTCACAGAATGCTTGCCGAAAACCTGAAATTATGGGCGATGCTGTTTATGCATTGCTTTGTAAAGACAGTAGATCTATTACTGGACAATTTTTGATTGATGAAGATATATTAAAGAAAGAGGGTATTATTGATTTTACAGACTATGCATGTAATCCAGGTAATATTTTTAGATATTATTTATATTTTGTAGACAATTATAAAAATATTTATCATTAATAATTATTATAGTAATTTATAAAAAATAATAAAGTAAAATAATAAATTCTAATAGTTGTGTGTATGTGTGTATACAGTTTATAAATTTTATATTATTATTAAGATCATTCAACAAATATAAAATTTTTATAGAAATATATACAAAATTTATTAGGTATTAATCAATTGTTAAATAATTATCACTTTAATAATAACTAATCATTTATCTTAATCTTCTTAGCAAATAAAGACAACTTAATGATAGACTTCTTTTTGGATGAGGCAGTTGGCCGAGCTAAAATCTTTAATGAAACAAATAATCCTACTGAAACACAAATGGCACGTATATTTAATGCTATCAATGCAAATTTAAGCAGCGAACTGGTCAGCAAAACTGGTGCTATATACAAATTCAATGTGAAAGGTAATTTCTTTTATGTTAATTTGTTTTCACTTATGTTAATTTATGTACTATGATAACGCAATAGATAAGAGAATAAATATGTATATATAATTTTAGGAAAAGAATCAGGTATATGGTTTCTTGATTTGAAAAATGGAAATGGTTCTACTGGCAAAGGAGAACCGAGTCAACCAGCTGATGCAACACTTACAATGGATTCAGAAAATTTTTATGCCATGTTTTCAGGTAGGTGCTTGTAACTACTTTTTGAATTAATTTTCGTACTTATTTTATGTTATTTTTATATTATTTTATCTTTGTGATACATATATACATATTATTAATAATATAGACTCCTTTTATATTTTTGTCAATAGGCAAACTGAAACCAACTTCTGCATTTATGACGGGCAAATTAAACATCAGTGGAAATATACAGAAAGCAATGAAATTGGAAAAATTAATGAGCAGTTTAAAATCTAAATTGTGAGATATACATGATCAAATATCACATATTCTTATAGTATATATTTATATATTGTAACATATAATAGCAGTCTTTTCAAAGACAAACATAAGTATATATTTTATCCATATCGTTATGGAATTTTTTTAATAGGAATAAGAAAAGTGTGTTCAAAAAAGCATAAATGATTGTCTCTGGGAAACCAAATGTCCATCATAGAAACTTTGTATAATACGATAATGAGTAATTTCTTACGAAAATAGAATAATTATATAGTTAAAAAATATAACATATTTTTATGAAGTATTCCTATAATTTGTATATTGTTATCATGATAGAAAAGAAGAGATATTTTGTATAATGAATAAAATAAACATTTTATATATACATATAAACATTTTATGTAACACATATAAAACGTTCAACAAATATTGATGCTAAGTAATGAATTATTTTTTCTATGCGCAGTTGTATTCTTATTTTAGCATTGGAAATACTATATGCGTAAATACTTTTGCTTCTTCATAAACTCCAAAGAAAATAAAACCTCCTAATGTAATCCACATTACTCTTGGCCCGAAACCAGCAAATAATCTGTGATATTGAGATATTTAGTAAAATTTTATAATCAATGATATGGATTAAAATAATTAATTTTTCAATTATAGAGAAAAATAAACAGAAAATACTTACCCACGATAACCATTTTCTAAATATATACCATGAAGCATATTTAATATCTTCAATTCCGATGAAAGCAATGTTTTGTCTGCTAACATTATCCTCGTTTTTATAACATCTAATGGAGTTGTAACAGCAGCAGAGATGCCTCCTGTGGAATTACGTAATATGTATACATTTTGATAAAACAAATGCATTTCTTTCTTACACAAAATTATAATATGATTTCTACTAAAAACCTGCGATTGCGCCACAGATTGCACTTTCCACAGGATATATTTGTCTTTCGATATAGGAATTATAGGATTTTTTCAAATATTCCCATAATGGAAATTGTACAATGCTAAACGGTGTATCTCGTAATACCGTACTCCAATATCCACGATATAATAATTTCAAATCAAATGATTTTTTGTCATATATAAGTGCTTGTTTTCTCTGCTTTATAACTTCTACAGGAACTCGTAATAAACATGCTACCTTCACATATAAAATAATGTAATTAATAAGTAAAACTTTTCCTTCATAATAAATAGATTAATTGAAATTGAAATTGACAATATTCAATTTAGATTAAATCATCTAGTTTCTAACATTCGGCTCTAATAAATTGCAACTTTAGGCAAATTAATATATGAAATAAAGACTCTTTTCTTCTCTTTTTATCATTACATAGAGATAATAATTATCAAAAAATACCATTTCTGCCATTACTGCTGCTCCCATATGAAGTAATGGAGTATAATTTGTAGAAATCCTAGGTTGCATTATAGCCTTAGTTTCTTCATATGTTAAAAAGAACAATGCAGCTAGAATATAAAATATCTTATATAAGATCATGAATATAATGAATAAATCTGAGATTCTTGAATGCATTGTGTATTTATAACATTACCTGTTGGTGCCGAACCAACTATGACTGGACCAATCCCTTTATAAAGACCTGTGAAGCCTCCAGTTTTTAAGAATCCTTGTGTACTCTGTAATCGAGTCTTTAACGTATCCAGTGGAAACAATGCAATATCCACAAATGTTCCTGCTGCACCCCCTGCCTAAACAATATGGAATATATTACAATATGGAAGTATATATAACTCTAAAATATAACTCTTCATATTTCCTTCATTCTAATTTTTTTTATATATAAAGAAATCTTTAATATAAATTTTCAATAAAGATAGAAAGAAGAATTAATTACAGTTTATTAATTATTGATAAATATTTAAAAACCAATATCTGAGTAGGCAGTTGTAAGAGCTTTTCCTCTTTCATAATCATGATGTTAACAATATTTAATATAATTACAACAAAAATTGTACATAATAATTCACTCACAATTAACGAAGTAACGAAGACATTTCGTATGCTCTTTTCTTCTGTTTTTCTTTTATTTCTTATCATCTTGTCTCAAGTTATTCAAAAATATATTCCAGTATATTTCATATAATCTGGTTCTCATATATACTCAGCTAATCGATTCTATTCGAAAAATATTAAAATAATTGCATAGTGATAACACACATCTTCAGTAATTTAAATTCAATAAATTCCAATGAAATTCAATCAACATAATGTTCTTGAGCGAACATTATTATGCATAAATGTATGCAAAATATTTGCATAAATTGATAAGATTTTATGGCATGAAATTTATCAGCTCTAAAGCTCTCTGAAGCCAGGCAGATGAGGTTAAGTTATTTAACTATGCGGCGCGTTTCTAGTAATAGGATTTGAATGAACGTCCCAACGTTTATATCAAGAATTTTTCAGTTTACAATTTCCATTTATTGCGATTCTTTCAATTAGTTGGAATTATAAAGAAAAAAATGAACGAATGCACATAGATACAACAAATACTTTTATTACGTTACACAATCTTATTCTCGTGTTATAATTTCTAAAATTTCGTCATTCAAGTGACATCTCGTGCTGGGTGAGAGTCCGCATTTTTTGTATAAGATTCATATATAAAGAAAGAGAGAACACAATAATGCCAAGGTATATACATGATTTCACATAGCTTCACCAATTTCATGCACATTATTTATTTTTCTTACCCACATTAAAAAATTCGAAATTTTTATAGGAAAATTGAGAGCCGACTTATTTTTTTATATCTACGTAATAACATACGTTAAGATAATTAATAACAATCCTTATAATCGATTAAAAAGATTATATCATTTATAAAAATTTATAGCATTTTCCACTCATTTTTTTTTTGCTTTCATCTTTATTTTCGAGTTAAAATATTTTTTGTAGATATTAATAATTTTCACCAAACATAATCGTCGTTATAATTATTAACAATTATAATTGTATAATTATAACAAAAAAAGGTAAGAATATATTAACGTTAGTCAAATAAAATTAATTATTATTAGACAAAAGTTAGTTATTTTTATATTTCTTAATAATTAAATGATATACAAAATTGGCTTTTTGTGGTGTTATAGAAATCATAAAATGTAAATTTTACATATCTTAAAGTAATATCGCCTTTCTTTCAGCTACAGATTCTTTGAATGATATGGAGTCAATATTTTCTTAACAAAAATATTAAAAATGTATTAATATCGAAATACATAAATGAACTAAAAAATTATTGTATGAAACTAAAACTAAAAAGTTTTATCTTAATTTATTTATGTGAATTTTAATTTTCTGTTTAGACATATCTAATTTTTACTGTTGACAATTATATTATAGTAATTTCCAGTGTTAATTGTTATATACAAAGGACCACTACAATACCTTGAAAATCCTTAAAAAGAGGCTATTATGAAGTTTAATATGAATTTCTTCGCGTATATCCTTTAGAATTATTGAATTTACATATGATGATTATAGATATGTTAACTTATGTAATAGAATAAAATTATGCTCCCTTAACTCTACATGTAGAAAAAGATAATTATCTTAAGAATAAAACGGTGTTTTGTTGTACAGTGATAGTTCCATCTCGTTGCATAAAAATTAATGTGAGAAATTAAGACGTTATTAAAATGAGATAGCTTCTCTCTGAAATCTTTGTTAAGATAAGATCGACTTTAAAATTGATCCAAATACCCATAGCTGCGAGACAAGGCTTGAAGAATAATGATAAATTTTACGCACACAATTACACAAGTCTCAAGTATATTTTTTTTTACTTTCCATATATTTTCATTCTTGAATTTTATACATATCTTATATGATCATCATTTAATCGTCTTAATATTCACACTTTACGTAACATTTATTTATCATTTTTGTATTCTAAAAAATAATTGATTATATATCAATTTTAAAAAAAGCTTCCCAGTGCTGTATGCACAATCGTCCTCGTCTCATTTTGTCTTTAATTTAAGACCTGGAGAGTTAGCTAAAGTAATTTCTTATCCTCTCAATTGTTCGTCATGAATCATGCAACATAATCCTTTACATCGTATAAATTATCAACGTCACGCAGTTCTATATAAAGTGACACTTGCGATATGTTGATTTGCCATGACTTCGACAATTGCATCTCGTATACCGTAACAAAATGTACAGCCGAATGGATTGGTAGTGTTCGTCGAAGACGCGCGATTCAAGACTACAGGTCGCGCGCTCGCTTTCAATTGCTCACTCACTCTATCCCATTTTGTATAGGCAGTGATCTATGAAACAAAATTAAGATTCGTTAATACAAACAATGCGTTAAATATCGTGCATACATAATTAAATGATCTCACTGTAACAGGAGAGGGAGAAACATCGATCAGCTTTCCCGATTCCGTGGAATTATTTTCAGGAGGCAGAGTCAGAGAAAATTCACAACGGTGATACATATTAAAATTATAATGTCCCGGATAGTTGGTATGAAGTACGAACTTTTTTATACATTGAGTTTTAGCGTTGAACAAGATATCCTGCAAAAAATCGCACCTTAAGTTCTTACTGTAGTTTATCGTAAGTTTTAATTTTATATAACTAAATTCGTGTCACCTCGTCGGACGAAAGAATGTACTTACCAGACCTAAAGTAAAATAATTATAGAAAAAGTCTGACCGCCTTGTCTTGTCCCGTTTGTGTGCGTGCGGACTATGGATACGCATCTTATCCTCGGCTTTGTAGAATACTCTAGACGGAGCACCAAGCGCGCTTAAAACATCTTCACAAGTATCTCCGAATAATACCTAAAATCATATTGAATTGTATTATTAAAAATAAAGAAACCACAAATTGTTTCTTGTGTTAAAATAAGTTAGTTCTTTCTGCGTTCGAAATTCATATTCGGTAAAATAATTTTCGAGATAAAAATAAAATTTTTTTAGCGATTGTGAATTGTATATTTAATTTCTTTAATCTTTAATACTTTAAATACTTAGAGTATTGGCATTATCTTCTACAGAATGTGTAGGTATCGATAAAGCGCAACCTCTTTGGTCAGACATCGTTTTTTTGGCTCCAGCAATGCTCTCGTTCCAGAACTGCCTTCCGTGAAGAGATGTAATCGGAGCCCTCGAGTACGTATTTTGTCTCTAATGATATCCGCTTTCTCCAAGTACAAGTTATTATGATAACAAACCTATTTAGAGACAGATGTATTAAAAAACATTATAGCATTCTCATTTTGTTTTTTTGGGGGGAAATGGCCTTAAAATAGCCATGAAAGTCCAAATCGTAATTACAAGTGGCAAAGGTGGCGGCGGGGTCTTAGAACCATGTTCTTCGCTGCTACCACCGGCTGGCATATTTCCAACGTAAATTGCAGTTTTTGCAACTAGAGGAGAAGTTCCATTAGGAAATTGTAACGAGCCTAATCCGTGGGCGTAACCAGGTTGGAACTTTGAGTCGATTGGAAAGTAAAACGACAGTCCTCGAAAATTCAATACAAACACCTGCAATTTATTACAATGGTTTCATTGCAATTTTAATTGTTTCAAATATTCATTTTTATTGAACGGTGAGTTTTCCACAATTTTACATCCGTGATTAAATTTCATAATAATCATACCTGTTTCTCGCTGTCGTAAACGCCCGGATGAGTCGCACCGAAAGAATGCTCTATCTGCTCAATCGAAGGTAACACTTCCGGCGAATTGAATGGCAAGCCGCAATATTTCAATTTCACTAACTTCATGTTATAAATCTCAATTATTTTAAGCCTTTGTACAACAGGATCGAATATAAGCCGAATGCCATCGTGAGGTAAATTTATTACTAGATCTACATCTAATGGATTCTGCGAATGTGCATAATGCTTGATGTATTATCTCATTGTAGAAATTTAAAGTACAGTATACACAAAAGTATTATTTATGCGTTTAAACTTAGCTTGTATGCATCATGTGTATTAAAAGTATCATTATAGATGTTAAATGTATACTTACAGTGTCACTATAAAGTACTTGGACTCCTCTTATAACACCAACTTGAGACTGTATTATCGATACTGACTGAGAAAAGTGCATACCTGTAATATAAATGAATTTAAAATTTATACTTTAAAATAAATTTCTATTTTTTAATAGCAAATATAAATTTACAAAGCTTATTTGAACAAGTGTACATAAAGAAGGATTTAGAAATTTCAGATCAGAAGGAATACACTCCCAAAATTATAAAAACTTAATATAAAGGCAATTGGTAGGCCTTTCATATTGTTGGCCTTTTACAAACAGAATAAATTATTTATTTTTTTGTCAAGGTTGATCTATGAACCTACGTTGACATTTCTATTTTTATACATTTATCACAATAGCATTTGTTTATTTAAAAAGCATCATTATATGCTATGTCACAACAGAGAAAAGGGGAAGGAAACCTATTTCTCTTTCAAATTTCGCATTTGGAGAATTAAATAGGAACGAATATAGAGTAAGGTAAGGACGAATCGTCCACTGCGTAACGAGACAAAGCCAACCGAGTAGCGTCAGCAGTTCTCGTCTCGTACGACTCGAAAGTTCGAGCGAGACAAGACGAGATGAGACGAGACGAGGAGGGCTTTGTGTGCGTGTCACGCAAATCATAACAACGCACGCTCGTCACATCGCGAGCGTTTTTGCGCTTGCGTTTTCGTCACTTGCCCAAAATAAACTCCCATTGCTCGCATCCGAGGGACCTCTCGGGCACCACCTCGAGCTCCAGCATCCTATCTGTCTCGTTTGTCCAGCTGTCACGCACGGAGCAAAGTGGAACGGCGGTGTGTCGCGGGGGAGAATTACGTTGCTCCTTTGTCCGTCCACTCGGTTGTTAATCACCAGATAGCCATATTGCAGTCACATCCCAAACAACAAACCTCGATCACTACTTCGCAGCGCCTGCGACTTCTACGGTTGGTAAACTGTCATCGAACAGCTGATACGCGGCCGCGGGGCACGGAGAACGAAGAGGGAGGAGTACTCGTAGAATGAGACGCGATTATGGCGGATTCACATCTCGCAACATCTTTTCGAGAATTTCAAACAAAAATTTTGAAACTCGAGACGGTTGCACTGTCAATGATTTTGAACATTCAGAACATTTTGAAAAATTCGCGATATCGCGAATTCAAGGAATTCCATATTATAAGAATCAAAAGCTTGTTGATTGATTATTGGTTGGCCGTTGGCTACAGCTACTTTCAGCAAAAAAGAGTAGCTAAGTGTGTTTTTGCGCTGATTGGATGGATACTTTTTAGATCTAAGCTGAGATAGGACTATTCCTTTGAATCTAAAAATATAATTCAATCAGTGCAAAACTCATATTAAGCTATTTTCTCTGTTGAACGCAGCCAATATTTCAGAATAACTTGAAAAAATTTTAAATGTTATTACAATATCACATATACAATATAATTATTTAAAATTATAAAAACGTAATATTGATAATTTATATTGTATTTTATAAATTCGAAATATATAGACTTTTTCAAGAGAGAGTTTAGACACCAAATACTCTTTTTAAAACGATTTAATCTATTAATAAATTATGCAATGTATTAAAAATTATTAGCTTATATTCCCCTTTTATCGATAAAAGTCTAAAAGTTTATAAGCCTTCTGATTGGCTGTGAGCCATTTTCAGAGGCACCTTTTATCGATAAAAGGGGATCAAATTTCATGCAGTTTCGATCTTCGATACGTAGTTCTGATATGAGCTTAACAGATTCGACATGATCTCGAGAATCAAAACTCGATATATCGGCTGGATCAATCGTGTCACGGAACGATAGTCGGCTACGTTCAGATCGGTCTGCTGACGTTCCATTCAAAGATGGCGTTGACGAGTGCGCCATGTTTCTCGTGATGTCCGAGCGTTAGATAGACTTTTTCAGACGCGTGATCCGTATGAGCAAAATGGCTGATGATGACCCGTGGTTACTGAAGGAAGACGGCTGCCTGAACGTGGACACCGAGTGCAAGAGCATCATCTATCACGCCAGTCTAAACGTTCTGCTCATCATCACTGGCAGCGCACAAGTATACGTGTTCGATGTCAACTCCGGCGTGATCCTGCAGAGGAGTTCCCTGTCGGGTGAGCATGCGGCGCCTCCTCGCCGTTGGCATCGATCCTCGGCACGCGCGTGCCGATGCCGGAAGAGCGACGGAACGGCACCGACCGGCACTGCCGTCGGCGCCGTCGCGGTCGTCCGCTCGACGTTTACGGAATACTGTGCAATAGCGATTCACCTCGCTCGAGTCAAGGTCGCGCACGTTTATCGAGTGCGGGGCCGCGATTACGCGCGCGATGGGACACTTCCTCTTCCTCGTCGGAACTTTCGGGCGCGAGATGACCTCAAAGCGGTGACAACGGCGGCGCCGGATTCGTCTCTGTGCTCGAGGAAACGAGCTCGAACTTACGTTCTGTTCTGAATGCCCAAGCTTTTATTTCCAGCGTTTTCTCGATCCTTTGTTCTGTTCCGCGCGAATATGACTGTTTTTTGTATATAGAGAGTAATGTAAAAAAAAAAATATAAATGACTAAAAAAATATAAATCTCTATAATCATCGACAGTGTACAGTATTATGATATCTCTTGTTATGGGTTTCTAAGAATTATTTCTATAGATTTTATCAATTGTTTCTTGATATTTAGCTTAGTTCTAATGATAAAAATTTTTTATAAATGATTTCTTTATCTCAATTAGCTATAATGATTAAGCATTTTGTAATAAGTCTTAATAACAAAAAAGCTGTCAATGTTTCTTAAAATTAAGGCATTTATTTTTATATAACTTTTCTAGGATTATATTAAAAATATGTAGAAATTTTAATGTTAAAAGATATTTTTTAAAAATATATATATTTAGTATCAAATAATTTAGATAATTTTAAATAATTTTATAAGATTATGTAATATAAAAACATAACAATATAAAAATTTTAATATTTAATATTTAATATTAATAATATTTTAATATTTAATATTAATATTTTATTTAGTAATTAATTATAAAGATACTACATTTCTAAGTAATATTTCTTACTAATTATTAAAATATACATTAATTATAAATTGTTAATAAATATATCATTATTGTATATTATTATATAAAAAGGAAAAAATATTTATATGTGCATGAAAAATTATGAGATGTTTACTTACATAATTATGATTGTTACAGGTAAAGCAAATGGGAAATTGCAAGGAATATATTTAGCAGATGGTATAGACAAAGTACTCTATACTGATGGGCGAGGGATTGGTATACGTAGTGATTACAATGGAGTCTTGCTATTGGATACAATTTTGCAAACTCCAGTTTCTAAAAGTGAAGATATTGTAAAGTTGGAGCTACTGTTGTCAGAGGCAATAATATTACTTCAATGCCTACAATGTGTAGAATTGCCAAGTGTAGAACATGTGCTGGAAGTGTTGCAAGAACTTTCAAGTAAAATCGCGGCGGCACAAACAAATCAGAAAAAAGGCATTAAAGCTCAGAAAGTAAGTGTATAATTTATAAAACCTATTTGCTATATTATATTGTACTATAATATGGAACATATCCTGAATTTATATAACTCTTTGATATAGCTTTGATATGAAAATAATGAAAATTTTGCTTGTAGTGGAATACAATATGCTTGGAGTTACCACATGGATCTTTGAAGCTCGTCTGTTCCGGCTTAGTGATGGAATTAAAGAGGCAAAATCGGCATATAGCGGCGCTGCCCATTGCCTCCGCAATCAATGAACGATTAAATGGCCTATTGCCCAGTCTTGCGTTAGAAGGTGGTCCCACCGATAGGGCGTTAATGTTTAGTGAAGCAGCACGTCGTAATACTTTTCCAAAATGGCCACATATGAATTACAAGTAATTATGTTACAAATGCCAAGTTTTGTTAAATATAAAATGCAGATAATGACATAGTTCTATCCTTCCCTGTTTTATTTTTATCTCACAATTTTTAATGCAATAAATACAATTTGTTTTAATATATAAATATTTAATTTGTAATTGAATTTTCTTTCAGATGGGCTTTACCCGATCAAATGGCACAGGCTGGTTTCTATCACGAGCCGAATGCCACAGGTGACGATAGGGCCATGTGTTTTACCTGTAATGTATGCTTGGTATGTTGGGAGCCTACGGATGAGCCGTGGTCAGAACATGAGAGGCATTCACCGGCATGTCCATTCGTTAAGGGTGAATATACACAGAATGTTCCGTTATCTGTTACTCTCGCAACAGCTCCCGCTCGCGAAGTAGGCGATACAGTTGATGTTATAGGCACTACTAATGTCACGGGCCTCGCGGCTACAGCCTCTTCTAATGGTTTTGTAAATATTTGGAATATAACAAATCAGTTGAAGGTAAGCTGTCCGTGATTATTACATGATCAATGTCATGGCAAAATTTACGAATACGTTTTATTAAAATCATACAATATATTGTTATTTTGCAGAGAGAAGTATCATGTTATATATCATCCTTAGATCAAGAAATAAACAACAAAGAAACGATCCAGTTTTGTGCTGCGAGAAATTTGTCTTCATATTTAACAAATTTAGGCTCGGATTCGGATCCACTTTCGGAATATAAGCCCTCGTCGTTTTACAAAGTACAAGTTACAGCACTGTCGGTGGTAGGATCACCAGTAACCCTGAAGGAGGAAGTAAAAGGCACCAACTCCACAACTTCATCGTCCATAAACATCGAGACAGTAGAGCATAAAATTCGACCGTGTTTAGTGTGCGGGGTTACAATGACAGCTAACAATCCCTCGCAATTGAGAACTTTAGAAAATGTATGGGCCGCGTCGAGCGATTTAGCAAGCTCATCGTCGTTGGTTCGTGCAATGAACAGTGTAAATAGTGCCGCCAGTGATACTCTAGACATAATGAAGGTAGCAGGTGATAGGTACATATCGTCGAGGTTGCATTACTTAGTATTGTATGACTTTCATCATAAAGCTGCGACAGCGCAACCCATCAAGGAAGATAATTCTAAAGACTCGAAGACTAAGAAAACCTTATCTGGGACAGGGACTAGTGCGAGTTCAAACGGCGGACGTCAAGAGAGTTTGTATCAAGAGCTCTTTCTCAGCAAAATTTTTTATGAAGTGCCAGTTATTGAAGATGTAGATTCGGACATGGTAGTCGGTCCGCATTACGACGGTATCTTCCCGACTAGTACCCTTACCGCCTCGTCCTCCAATGGCATTTATTCAAGTCCAATCAGTATTCCTTTTTATCCGGCTCCGACAACATCAACTCCTTACGATTCCAATCTTGCTCCTATCAACGGTTCGACTCACTTCGCTTCGACATCTGATTTGACAACGATAAATAAAAAGAGCTTAGATCTTGTAAAAATTACCAAGGAGGAACCGGTGGTCGTCAAGACGCTAGCGATAAATGCTCCGGATTCTCTTTGTATTACGTATATAACTCCGTCCAAGGACGGAAGATATCTGTATGTCGCGATGTGTCCTGCGGCGGATAATACTTCCGCCGAATCCTCGTCGAATACCAATCAGATGGACGTTGACGACGAGAGTGATTTCTTTCCCCAGAAAAGTTACATGTATTGGGACCATAACGATAGTCAGTCCAGCAAATTAATAAATGGCGAAATTCATAATAACGAGAACAATACGAATGCCATATTGCTCGTGTACGCTTTGGATTTTACTGGCTCAGTAGTAAAAGTGGCATCGGAACCGTTGGTGAAGCGGGAATTACCATTAGAACAGGCGCCGATAGAACACGTACTTCTTCCTCTTCACGAGAAACAAAAGTGTACGTCGTTTTCTACTAACTCTAATACCAATTCTGCTAGTAATTCAGTCATACAAGAACCTGCCGGACAAATTGCCCTTGTATGCAAGGATGGTGTGGTTAGATTATTAAACTTAAGTACACTGAAGACTGTAACAGAAGCAAGATTAGATGGAAAGAAATTCATCTCCGCGACTTATTGCAACAGTAAGTGTTCTTTGTTGAAGAAGAAAAACGAGTAATTGTGAAAGATAAATTTGAAATATCTCTAGGAATATATTGTGAATGTTGGATGCTGAAACAGCTGATTTTTTTAGGTTTGGAAAGGCTGTGTGTGTGCACAAGTGATGGCACATTGCATTTCTTCATTACAGCAGAGGAAGAGGATTCCGCGGAGGAGAAAGAAGATATTGATGATGTGAATATGGGTAGTGAGGGAAATTGTACTTGTGAAAATATAGCTCCTAGCACATCAACGTCATCGATTTGCTAGTAAGTTTCATGTACCAAACGTTTCATAGCGAATTTACGATAGTCGAACGTATTTAACGTCATATTTTAACTGTGCAACATGTTTCTTTTGTAACATTATTCACAAAACATTGTGTGAAAGCAATTTTTATTTGACTCTAATATTTATATACATCATACATTTTGAATTTTTCAGCGATGAACTATTAGCGCATAAATCGAATTTCTCTTACTGGGACTTAGGGCTATTATATGAGCTTACACGATTTAGTCGACATTCCCCCGCGTACAGCGCGACTGTTCCTCCGTGTTGGAGTGAAATGATGCAAGCTCAGAGACAAAGACGTCATCCGCAACATCTGCATCAATCGGAAGATCAGCATCATACAAGAACATGGCGGTTGCAAAATGATGCGTAAGTCGACATAATTATAAATATTCCAATAAACGCGTATAAGAAATTTAAAAAAAAACCATATTTTATCTTTCAACTATAAATTCTTTAAATTGTTAAAATATCTATATATATTTAAAATTAAAGAATCATACATTAAATGATTATGAAATTTTGGATAAGAAAAAATTGATATAGTCTATTAAGAAAAAATTGAACAAAGAATTCATGACTGAAAAAAAATAATTACAACATACTTACTGGGAATTTCTTTCTGTTATGATAGGACTACTTGGGATGAACATGTATTCGAACTTACTTTACCTCGAAGCGCAGCAGGAAGTATAGGGCATGTTGATGTCCGATTTACCTTGCATGCGTTCTGTCAAGAGTTACCGACTATTCAAGTTACTTTGTTGAAGCAAAATATAAAGAGGATAGGCCATCAAAAAATACCGACCACTCCTGTAGATGAAAGAATTGAATTTAATATAGGAACCGATCAGAAAAATGAGAATCCGGTTATTACAGAAGAATATCAACGTCAGCACAACACCGAGATTCTCTGTGGTCCTATTGACTTGCATCGTTGCGTAGACTTATCCTGTCGCTCGGGATGTGTAACGTTGACAAGCCCAAAATTGTTTCGCTCGAAAGCTAGAACATTACTTGTTCATATTAAAGCTTTAGTAGATCAAAAGGATGGAGTAAGTGATGTATTTATCGTTCTTTGATTACATTATGTTTTTATGTACAATAGAATCGATATCTGATTAAAATGTTTTCTCTTCTTTTTAAGACATCTACAAAGTCGAAAGCAAATTTAGCTGAAAGTAAACCACCTACGTGCAAAAAGTTAAAGATATTTGAAGTACGACCACTTGTACCCCCAAATGCTGGGGAACGATTAGAAGAAGGTGCGAATAGTAAGAAGTTAGGCTGCTACATTGGTAAATGTACTTTAAGTATATTTTATTAATATTTTAGTAAATTGATTAAATTAAATTAATTATAAATAAATTTCATACATAATTTACAAAAAAATTTTTGTATACATGTGACAATTTTATTTTGTGCTGTCAGATTTTTATCATAATGAGAGAATGATTATTTAGAACATTTAAAACATTGAGAAATTATATTTTCTATTTGAGGTTGCAACTGGATTCACGAGATTTCCATCACAGTGCGATCAGTAAATCCTACCAGCATGCCTGACGAAAGAATGCAAAGGTGTGCTATGTTAGAATCCAAAACCTTTGTTGATAATCTTCTGAATGTCGCATGTTTACAAGTACCTGTCGAGTAAGTAATAAGAACAATAGAAACTCAATGATGTTTGGGCGTATAGAAAATTGAATTATATATAATTTGAGTAAATACGTTTGCAGCTCTCCTGTCGTACAATCTATAGCTCTTGACATTCTAATATGGGTAGCTTCAATAAGACTAACAAGATTGCGTAGCATTCAGAATAGCGCGGAGATCAAAGCTCTTCAATTAGAGACGATACGCTCCGTACAAGGGCGATTATCTAGCTTGTTACGAACCTGTCTGTTGCATGCTGGCAGGAGTATAGCACACAAATGTGTTAAATTAATTGTCCTTTGTAGCGGGTAAGTGATTATTCGAAATAGTAATAATCACACGGAGATTTTATAAAAAAGAATAACAAATTTATTATTTTTTTTAGAGGATTTTATAATATAGAGGATTCACCGGCACAAACTTTTGACGAGGCCATGCTCTCTGTATTGGTCAATTTGTTGCCGTCGATAGTAGAAGTTCACTGGGCTGGTTCATTGAGATGGCTCCAATTACTCATTACCAGATTTTTGCCATTAGATAGAAATTACAGTATTGCCCATAAATGTATCTCCCTAGTGCAACAGATAGCAACTGAAATATCTAATAGAGTGAATCCTTACCATTTATTGCTCGCGACAAGGTTTCTCCACTGTTTTCTTATAATTTCTATATATTTTTTAATGTTATTTTAATAACTAATGAATTTTTTTAGATTTGGTCTCTATAACACACCTTTTGAAACGGAACTTTTCGACTTAGAGCCACCAATGTTACCAAAGTTTAGTTCTATACCTGTGACATATGCGTCTGTCGTAACTACCGAGCAAACAGGTCCATCTATCGCTTCGTCGAACGCTGTACACTCATCCAAGATATCGCAAGATTCTATTGATTTGAGGGACCTACTCACACTGCCTACACATCCCGCTAGTGAATTTGTAATATCTAGCAAATTAAAGGCATTATGCGCTAATCATAATATGAAGGGTCTTCTCGAGGTAAAAAATTATTTAATAAAAGAGAATTATTTAATAAAATTATTTATTGTGTTCCGCATTATTTTGACGTTTGAATATTGATTTAGGTCGAACCTCTTCATTTTACTTGTCATGCTGCCTCCGATGGTACGAAGATGGAAAAGATTGATCCCGGCATGAACACAATTAATATTGGACCGACTTTGTACGACAGTACAACGACAAGCAACAACGGTGTACCCGACATTAAAACGATACATCATACATATGTAAGTCGCCTGCATGTTTTACATTTGTTAGGAGCTGCGATATTTTTTTGATGAACCATGCGAATCATTTCGTAATGATGATATAAAAGCGGACATGTAAAATAGATCATTTCTTTATTAAAAAACGCTGTGATCTCAATAACAACGAATATTTCATGTAATGTGGCATTAGGCTATAGACAATAGACTCGAGCAGATAGATTCGAGCACAATTGTAAGACTCGTATAATGTGCCAGAAAAATTTCAGCATTCGTAGAATAGGCAAGGCATTCCTTCATAATTAACAGAGGCTGTTAAGAGTTATAAACTCATAAATGGAGTATATACAGTATAGATATTATAGAGTAGATGAATTTTAATTCAGATAGAAATATTAATTATAGAACTTGGATGCTGGATCGCTAGGACAACATGTTCAAGCTAAATCGACAGCTACGTTAAGCGATCTGCTTAGTATGTATACAGGAAGAGTGTTAAAGAAGCCGTCTCCGCAACTATTGCTCACTCCTGATGAACAATCAGATTATGACGAAGCTAACGAAATGTCTGGCGATAACCAGACTTGGCATAGCACGCAAAATAATATGCCTAGTTCACACATATTAAATTCCATTGTAATAAAAGAAAAGTCATGCGTACAAAATATCAATACCACTGTAAACAAAGTTGAGGAAGGCAATAATCCTAAAAAGGTAGATTACATAGACAGACAGACACGCACCACTCTTATTTATTTTCTTCTTTTTTTCTCAATTTCTGTTTCTAAGTTCAGTATTACACTGTGTTCTTTCGTCATTTAATCGCTTTGTTAATATGCTGGTTGTAAAAGATATCGTTCATTAGAAAATCTTTTATCTATCAAACGCAGCTGAATGATATTTTAAATATGCAAATTGCATGAGTTACATGAAATTGATTCAATTATGTACTTGATGTTGATGTTATCCTTGCATACAATTATTGCATATAATGCCATTTTTCGCAGGGTTTTCGTCTTATTCCTTCTTTTATTTTAAAATTATTATTTACAGCGAGAAATTAGCTATCAACTAGTTTTATATTAACCTCATCATAAACAGTTCGCATTTTTTATGTGTACATGCAGCTGACACGGTTTCAGTTCTTTTTTATAAATTTGCTTTACTGTTTAATGCAATAGGATTAGTTATTATATCGACTTAATATACTGAGTGAAATCTCGCTTTATTTTTTATATACGTGCTATTAATACAGAAATGATAATCAGTTTTGCAATTAAATTAAAAAAATTTATCTTTATAAATTATAATAGATATACTAATATGTATATCCAGATTTTATAAATTTAGTTATGTTTCAATTTATAATTTAATGTGGATATTTTACTATTTGAGGTGTTTCATAATTAGTGATCTTAACATAATGACAAATTCTATGATTAATATGGAATTGATTTTATATTCATTAATATATTTTATTGAAGTAATATTTATTTAAAATTAGTTAAATTTATATATCATTTTTACAATTTGTAAAGAGATCTTTGTATTTGCAACATAAACATTTTATTGATTAAAGATTTAATAAAGAATTTGTCATTAAGACACACTCGTGGGTCGTGTGATATTATATAGTATAATTCTTTATGTATTTCAGTATATCCAAAACGCAATTAATTTATCTATAGTAATGATTGTCGCAGTGAAATATTCCGCTTTCTTATATTTTTGCCAAATTGCGTTTGGGAAGTGTGTAAGTTTAAAAATAATTATTGCATTGATGATTAATTAGTTATATATGTTGCAGCGAGACGATATTACATTTCCATGGGGAAGATTGCTGTGTTGGCCACCTCAACAAGCGTTGGTAGTCGAACGAATGCATTCGGGAGCTCGTCGATTCGTTATTTTAGACTTTGGGTCACCCATATTGCTTACTGATCTGATGATACCTTCATGCAACGATCTAGTGTCACTGTCTATAGATATCTGGACCAAGAGTGAAGAAATTGATGGCACACGACTTATTGTTGCTGGGGATATTGGAAGTAAGCCATTGATTGTCTCCGATCTTCAGCCACCACCTGTGTGTAGATATCTCAAGGTAAAATATGTATTAAAAATATGTTTCGTTATGTTCAGTTTTGTTATTCCTTTTTGCTTACGATGTTCATAATTTTCTTATAAGTCTTGCAAAACATATTAAACTTAGCTTAAATTAATTCAAACAGTTTGTTTGTAATATTTTTTTATTATGTTTTTAATTTAATTAGTTTTTTCTTTTTATTCATATCGATTTGTTCCTCTTTATTTTTTTCTACGACCTACTTGTAGAATACTAATCGATTTTTTCTATTTATAAATTAATATCATTTTTATATTCACATTTAATAATATTTTATATTCATTATTAGATTACTACGATAGGACGCTATGGAATGTCCACAACTACGTGTAAAATACCATTAGGAATGTTTTACGGACATATGGTAGTTTTGCCTGGAGAAGATTATTCAGAAATAAACGATGCTTCATCGTTTGATGCTGACATTTTTGATTCTTCTTTACAAACTACCATTGATACGCAATGTAATATATTATCGGCTTTAGCGGAAGATGTACAATGCAGGTATTGTGTGAAATTAAGATAAGCATAACAAAGGAAGAAGAACTATATACGTGTAGTTTCTGTTAATGCTAAAAATGTTCTCTTCCTGTTTTCAGATTTAGTTTAGCTACTGAAAGATTAAAAACTTTGTTGGATCCATTATTGTGTTCGGAAACTCCTAATGTTATGCATATGCAAAATTACTTGTGTTACAATAAGATTCCTAATGAAAGTAAGGAACAGCCATCGGCGAAGATAATGTCGACGTATCAAGTGAGTTATATTTTTGAAAGTTTCTTTCAGAAAAGAATGATTCAGATTTATTATTTTAACAAAGCAATTGATTTTGATTGTTATAACTATTAATTAATCTGATATTTTTTATAGGAATGTATTATGTTTCAACATCAATTAAACATTGTACGAAGTGTCTGGCGACGTCTCGAGTGGTGGAGAGGTTTGCGAAGTATGCCAACAACATCTTTAGCTAATGCACCCAGTGATAAATTACGAGTTTTAGAAGAAACATTACTTGATATTTTATTGTATACTGTGTACGAAATTGGTCCTGTACCTAGTGTATGTATACATTATATCACCGATTTTAAATTACAAAGAGAATTATATAATAAATTATATATTTTTTTAAATATAGGTATATCGACCGACATCGTTATACGAAGTTTTTACTCCAACGATTTGTGAAAAGTTTTTCCACTCGATATGTGTTGTAACTCCAGCTCCACGTTTGCAACTTCACGCTGCTGCGCTCTTAGCTGGCATGGCAGGGCATCAACCATGGTGGGGAAATTTCTTATCCAATACTTTAATAAATCTTTATTCGTCGTCGTCGACTCATATTTTCCCTCAAGACAGGTGAGGAATATTTATTGCTTTGCACTTAACACATGCATATGAGATTTTTAAACATTATACAAAATTTAAAGAAAGCGTAAATCTAAGAAGAAAATTTTCTCGAAAAAGTTACTTCTTTTTATTTAAGAGTCTTCTGTGATTTATAAAACATGAATTAATTCTTAAATATAATTTTATAAGATGTGGTGTTTTATAATTAAATTCTATTTTAGGGTATTTATTTTGTTAACGTTTCTTGGGCGGAAATCATTACTAGCCGGGGGAAATAAATCTTCAGTTATAGAAGCTATGGTTCGTACATTGGGTAAATTATTGATTCCGCTTACGAACGCACAGCCATCTAATTCTACTCGACTGGACATTATCTTAATAGGCTGGGTATTATTGTTTCTATCAGTATGCTTAGATACTATTACACCTCCGCCTTGTTTCGAAGACAATCATGAGAAAACTAAAGAACAAGGTATTTTATACACATGTTTATAATATTTTTAAAATATTTTTTTTATTAATTATTAACTTTAATTTTATTTTTAATTATTTATTTTGAAAACATGTTAAAAAGTTAGCAGCCAGAGAAAAAATTCTATATTTTTATACATGATCTTAATAAAAATATTTTAAGATAATAAATATCAGTACTTTAAAAGAAATAAGATATTTCTTCTTTTATTTATTGTGATTTTATAATAGAATAATATCTTTATAATATTTGTTTTGCAAGGTTTATTTTCCCGTTGGGAATTTATTCAAGGAGAATCAGCTATGCAAAGGAGATATGTTAATGCTAATCGGTCATCAGCCTCTCGTAGTTACCGTAAAAGATTACAGAAACGTTTGTTGCATCATAAACAACAACTTCATGAATTAGAACAAGCAAAAAAGTCTGCAGCGTCAAAAGTACGTAATATCGAATATGTAATATCGAAGTAATAATTTTTGTAAATTTAATTACTAAATTAAAAAAATATATATAATTATTAGTATTTTTATGGACTAAATATTAAAAAGGCTATATAAAAATTTAAGTGAATTTAATAGATATAAAAATAATGTAAATGTATGATATATTTAGGGATTGATGACTCTTTCGTCTGATGCTGCTACATTGTACAATAAAGTAGAAGCGACCCTGAAGGTTCAAGAACGTTATTTCAAGAAGACGCTAAAACAACATTCTGCCAAGCATTACAAAGATATTCTTAAGAAAAATGAGGCGCTGTTCCGTGGTCCGTGTTGCAGTCAAGCGCGATCCAGCACTAGGTTAGTACACTGCAAAAGTTTGTTTTGTTCAATTTGTATGATATATGACATAATTTGAGAAAATAATTATTTTTTACACACATATTTGCAGCAAATCGGATGTTATGGATTTGGAAGTCGAATACAATGTGACGAACTTATCCCATCAGAATGTTTTACCAGTGGCACGTGGTCTCGTTGCGCTCATTTTACATAATTCGGCTAATGTGGATATGTTTTTATTAGCTTGCAAGGTGAGATCTATTAAGTTTGAAAAAGCAAACCATCGATGTACTATGCCATGAATTCTTGTTAGATTTATATATTGTAAAATGTTTATTTTAACTCGACGGACGTCGAATCTCATTATTTGCAAAGTTTTCTTCCTCTAAATTTATATGATATCGTTTCAAAATGTAGTTTGGCTTTGGTAGAAAGAAAACTATATAAATTTGACGAAATACCGTATGCGTAATATAATTTAATTACGATTTATCATTTTTTGTTTTTACAATTGGATTTGTAATTTGTAATTTGAAATCTGATGTTACACATAATAAAAAATTCATATACTACCAAAGAAAGAAAATTTCATATACTACCAAAGAAGGAAAATTATACAGATTATAGAATACAAATCTTCTGATATCTTTTAATATCAATTTAATTATAAATATAATCTTTTTTTGGATTTACCTTATAAAGTCTACATGACTTAGTAATTATGCCTATAATTACATTTCTGAATTATCGTACATAGGTAGTCGCTAGGCTAGTAGTATCTACACGACCTGCAATAGGCTTGTGTGAGCTTATGACCGAGGAACAACTCTTGAAATTAATCAGATTGGCAACAGACACATCTGATGCTGCTTGGTCGTCACATGCTGTTTCTTGTCTTCTCATGGACTTATTGGAAGGTAATAATAATTTACATCTTTTATAGTATTATGGAAAAATGATAGAAATAATTGATAATGATACTTTGTTCACAATTTTTAAATTTTAAAAACATTAGAAAGTCTTTGCTATTTTTTTCTTTGAGTAAAATTGAATTTCTTCAGCAGTTTAATTGAATAGAAATATAAATTAAATAGACAAAACTTAATTTATAGGAGGACGATTGTATCCCAAAGCATGTACTTCTACGCACGAAGGTAGTCCATCGGAAGAGATTTTGGAGTCTCTAGGAAATCATACAGAGGAAAGTCGTACAGTGGAAGAGGATTCAGCCAATGTTGCTAGTACGAGTGCACCTGCTACTGCATTAAATGAAGGATTCGCCGAAGGAGACGCGGACGAGGACGCGCAAGATAATATCGTGGTAACTTCAACTACCGCTGGCACGTCAAAGTCCAATGGCTATCTGCCATCCCTTTTAGAATCCGATGACAGCGAATTGGAAGACTTTTTGGACGATATATTGGAACGTGGCAGGAATATGTTGAAGAAAGATAGCACAGTATCAAAAATTTTAACTTCTGCCATTACTGGGTATTTAGATTTTTTCTCTTTCTTTCTCTTCTTTTTTGATATTTAAAAGAAAATGATTAATTAATTAATTCTTAAAAATTTTACGTTTTTTTATGATAAAATGTTTATTGAAAAAATGTTTTTAAAAAATAATATATTTTTAGGAGCATTTCTTTAGCAATGGATGCACGCTTGGAATATGGAGTTGAAATGGGTGTAGAAATATCACTGAGGATATTGTCTACAGTCGGCATGTACAATCTACCTCACAGTATAAATGCGACAATACACGTTAGTTTATGTATTATATTCATTTTGTTTTTTGTATTATTCAAAATTGGATATTTCAAATGTATGTAATTTTAAGAACTTTTTAACAAGAAAAATAGAATAAGAATTATTAATGTTTTTAACAAGATAATTATTGTAAAATTATACGGATCAAATTTTATTATAGGTGCCGACAGAAGCAAATCGCTGTTGTCAACAAACGTTCCTACGTACCGAAACAAATGATAGAAGTCAAGAAACTGGAAACTTTTCTGATCCTACCCCTTCTAATCTTTCTATGTTAACAAGATGTTTTGAAAAGATGTTTACAGACTTATATTTACGGGTAAGTTATTTATTATCAAAATAAAATGCATTTGCAGTATCGTTTGATTAAATTTGTTTAATTTGTTTAAGAATTAAATTTTGATTAAATTTGATTCTTCTGTTTTAATATTATTGATTTGGCTTTTTTTTCTTTCTTAAAGATAATAAAATTTTATATTTAAATGGAAAAAGCATATCAAAGTCTTTAATTTTATTTAATAAATTAAGTTAGATAATTATATTTTGTACAATTATTTTTAATTAATGTTTTTAACAAATATAATATACAGACTTGGTCTTATTAAATATACTTACTTAGAACAAATATTTTTTCTGGATATATTAAGTGATATATGCATTATTGTCTTATGTTTACATAACAGAATAACAGTACAAACTTGGAACTCGTTCTTCAACTTTGGTTTTCATTGAATATGGATGCTGCTACTGAACATTCAAACTCGCAATTTGATCCTGCTTTAACACCTTTGATTCCACTCAGTCCAACAGCTGTTTCGAGTTTAATATCTGCATTATTGTGGTAAGTTAACAAACTTGTTGCTTGATAAGGATAATCAATGATAATAATATTTATAATAATATATATTTATTTTAAAACGCGATACTAGTACTTTAATACTACTGCACTCGAATTATATGTTAAATTTTAGGCATACTGGTGTTTCTTTACGTGCTTGGTGTCTTGCATTGCAATGTTTAACTATCGTCTGCAATCAACCGTCACGAAGATATTCTGGTTTAGACGGCTTTACACCCAATCCTTCTATGGCTAATTGTATTGTTAAAGAACGCAACACAGGCCTCATGTTGTTGCGCCTACTTTCCGGTAACGGATTAAATATCAATACGATGGATAAGCAATATATTATGGTGAGGATAGTTTTCTTTCTACCATAGATTATAAAAACGTTTTATCAAAACGTTTATCAAAATTTTTTGTTATGTCATAAATTTTGATTAAAAATCAGTCACACAAGATTTTCATATTTTATCATGAAACAATGAAATATTAAAATATATTAAATATCACCAAGTTACAAAATAAATTTATGAAGAAGCAAAATTAAAAACAATGCATTTAGAGATTATTAATAATAAAGATTATTAATAATAATAATGTATATTGCATTTTAATTATTTTCTTCAAAAAAATAATTTATGAAGTTATGAAGTAATTTGAAAATATTCTTTGATTAAGAAATAATATGATAGAAATGGCTATTCTATCATATTCTTGTGCTTATATTTAATTTATATATATATATATAATTATTATATATGCTTATATTTAATTTATATATATATATATATATATATATATAATATATTATTATATATATATATATATATATATATAATAATTTATATATCATATGTACATGAAAAATAGAATAATATATTTATTTTTATATTTTTCTTATAGTAATATTTCTATTTCAGGCTGGGCCTACAGTTTGCCAAGCATTGCACGATTTTCTCGTTAGATTAGAAATGATGTGCGATGTTATTACAACAGATAGCTGTTTAGGTAACTCTTTAAAAGATCTTTTACTGCAAGTGGTGTATCAACTTGTACAACCAAGCGGTCCTCTTATCTCAAGAAAGGGACCTTTAGATGCACAGTGCAAGCTAATAACATCTGTAGTTAATTTGAATTATGTCAATACCGACTTAGGCATTGCTATGAGCATATCCGAATGTGTTGGTGTGTTGGTATCAACATACGTCAAAGGATCTGAAGGTTATTTTATTATTTTTATTATTTCTATAGAAATACAACAATTACAATTTAAAAAAAACGCCAACGAATTACGATGGAAGAAGAAATCAACAAACTAGATTTTTAAATTAATAGATTGCGTTCCATTTTTGATACTACTAATTTATTAAAATTATTTTGATTTATAATGAAATCCTGTTTCAAAAATTAAATTTTCTGTTAATGATTTGATTCGATTATTTCTGTCGCAAAAAGATTATTGCATAAAAATTATTCTACTAGTTGGCGCACAATGTGGAGGTGCGGTTGATTCAGCAAACCAATCTGGTAGTTTTGGTGGTCTATTTGCATGTGTGCTCGGTGGTGATGCGAGACAATGTCGCCCTGCATCGTGGGATACTTTAATCGTGGCTCTGATCAAATTAGTGTGTACACTTATCCAAACTCCTTTACCAAGTGTACGTATTTTGTATTATTTTACATTTATGAACTACTAAAAAAATTTATCTGTTTGTATATTAACTTTATATATTTTATAGACTCGTCAAGAACATTCGGAGGAATCAGCGGAAATGGAACTATCTGAGACTTGGAGTTCTAGGAGCAATACGAGTGATTCTCAGAATGCAAATACTTGGCAAACCGATGAGAGCAAAGCGGAACAACGAAATTCTTTTTGCCTACAACAACCTAAGACCAGTAAATCTTCTGTGCCTTGTCTCGCTGATACTGGTAATTATTGATATAAACGATAATATATTGTATTTCACGAAGTGTATTAAATCTTATTAAATGAATATTCATTTTTAAGTTTTACAGCACGAGCCAACTATGATGCGTTTACTAGGCGCTCTCGGTCATAGCACAGGATCCTCGTTAGCTATGCTCTTAGGCGAAAGTGCAAGTGCAGCATCGACTACCGAGCTCGGTGATCCGGCTTCGATACCGGATGCAACGTTTCAACTCCTAACGACCCTTACGAAAAAAGCTAGCGATCCAACCCTAGTTCTCAAACCTCTTTATCACTATCTTTCCTCATGTAAGAATTTATACGTTATATAATATTATACTGAAAGATTTATTTATTTTCTATTATTTGAATATAAAAAAAAGAAAAATAAAGCGTAAAATTTTTTTATACAATTTTATATAAAATAAAGTGATCATACATTATTTGCAGCATGCGGTGAAACTGAATTAGGAGTTATGCAATTATCTGAACCTCTTCTTTGGTACATTCTGAGAGTGTTAGACAATGCATCGTCATTATCTATTTTTACCGCAATGGGTGGTGTAAAAGTACTCTGTGAGAATCTTGTGAGGTCAAGTAACAGTGGTACCGCTGGTACTTCCAATTCGTCGGGAGTGATCGCTCTCGTTATGGAACATCTATCGAATGCGCCGAATATGATGCAAATGATGGCGAGCAGCAGCAAGAAAGGCGTCAGTTCGCTAGAGACTCACGATGATGGTTTATTGAATTTCGCGCCTCTTGGTTCGATATCCTGGTTGAATCCGACTGCGCAGCCGGCAGATGTTCTTATACAGAACGCTACTCCTCATAAACGTGCAAGAACACCAGCGTGGTCGTATCATTTCTATCCCGATGAGGCATGGGTTGATCTTACCATCACTTTACCGTGCGCAATCTTGCTCAGGAAAGTGGAACTGCAACCGCACCTCACGGCGTTGTCCAGTAAGTTTATAATACTTTATTTATGTGAAGAAATCTTAGAAATTTCATGACATTACTTTTTTTAGCATTTTTCTCTTTTTGCATATTTCCATTTTTTGTATGTCTGAAAATATTTATTATTAAACTTCATTAATTTGTGCGTTTCTAGTATATTATATTCTTTGTTAAAAGCACTTTTTTTTAAACTACAGATTTATTCTTTAAAATAAACCAAAAAAATTAAAAAAAAAACGACTCAAAATTTATCAAAGAATTCACAATTTAAAAAAACAATGAGAGAAAATCTTTATAATATCTTATCAAACAAATCTAAAATTATTTTTTCTAATGTACACATTTGTTTGACAGCATGTCCATCAGCTGTAGCACTTGAAGTTTCAAGAGAAAGTAATGGTCCGCTAACGCCGGTTTGTCCGCCAATGCCAACAGCGGGCTTAACATACATACGCGTTACCTTATCACAGCCAGAAGTCGCGACTTCTGTATTGGTGCGCCTATATAAACCACGAGATTCGACAAACATAAATCTTAGCCAAATAAGATTATTAGGTACTACCGCATTCGGCGAAATTAAAACGAATCCGGACACGATAGACGAAGAACAACTAACAAAGACTAGGTAACATCATTTTCTCCCTTGATCACAAAAATAAGAACATTGGTACCGTTAACGCGTTAAAAATTTATCACGGCTATGAGAGTTTAAAAGATTGATTTCTGATAACATTTATGTAGCTTGGGTTGGTTGCGATTGCTGCATCAGTGTTTATCGGTGAGCACACTGAACAGTAGTCTGGCCGTCGAGGTGCTTAATTCCGCGGCTTCAGTCGAAGGCCTGGTTGAGGCATGCTGCAACCTCCTGTTACTCCCAGCACCGTCTCTCTTTACTCCTAACCTGGAGAGGGTTCTATTACAACTTGGCTTACACTCTCGAGAGCTTGGACTTCGTCTCATTGGTCTCTTACTCAACAACAGGTCCACCCCTTTCTTCCAAGGTATCGCTTTATTCTCCGTTTTCTGCAATCAAGAATGGCCTTAGCTAAATAGATTAGGCGAAGATTTAATTCTTCATATAATAAATATTAATTTTGTATATCGATGTTAACGTCTATTGCTTAGAATACCGCAAATATTAAAGCTGTTTTTAAATAAAACACTCGACATAATAATCTTTTCTTTCAAGTTTACGCTACGATGGCATTTAATAATTATACTAATATTTGACACAGGGACTGTGACTTCCCAGGAAACGTCCATCGTACAATTGGTTGTTGAATTGCTTCAGCAGTTGTGTTCCATTCGGGACTTTAGCACGGAAGCTCGCATGAAAGCTGTTCTTACGTGGCTGCAAATATCGGCCGCGAATGGAATACCTCAGACGAATAATAATTCAGTGAATCCACCAGCGGTATATATTCATTGTGTATCTTCTATCATATGGAAGGCTCATCAACAGCAGAATCACAATTATGATCTACAAATCTTACTGACGGATGAACTATTCTAGTAAGATTATTTAGTTGCATATCTTTCTTTAATCTTTATTTGAATGTAAATCAATTTATTCCACCGTTGTATACAAATTTTGTTTATCTTTGGAATTTTTCTTATAAAGTCAAGAATTCGAATATTATGATTATGACATAATAACATACATCTTCCTTTTGCTTCTCTTTAACATTATTGAAATTTTAAATTGTAAACTTAGTTTTCTATTAAGTTATTTAATATTTATTATTAACTGTTTAACTCTTTAATTAATCTCAACAATTTTTTGTTAAATAGCTCATTATACAAATGGACTCTAACTCTTGGCAACAACTCAGCTTTGAAACAAGCGATTGATTCTGTCCTGTGCGCTTTCTGCTATGTGAGACCATCGTTGTTGATTCTGCTTTTAGAATGGGTACAAATTTTGGTACCAAATATCGCGGTAAATCCGTCAACATCCATATCCGATGATTGTAAAAAAAGCGAGGAACAAACGGATGATAAGAAAAGCGATATTAACGCTGAAGGATGGTATTGCCAGTTTATTTTGCTGAAGCATAAATGGTTGCATTTGACGGAGGGACAATTACTGACTGTCGCTGCAGCAGCGCGTTCGCCCCCTGGTACTCAGCAATTGATCGATTCCGGTCTTCCGGCATTATTGACAGCATCGATCACAGGTAGGATTTTGCTTTATATTTTGCATTAAACTTTAAAAAATGTTATAAAGAAATTTGCTCAATATAAAAAAAATGTTATAGTTGTTTGTCGAGAGAATTAGATTATAATTTATTAAAATATTTTTGAATAAATTTTAAGCAAATTTGTTGAGAATTTATTACAATGTTTCTATATTTATATTTATATTATTTAGATTTCTGTAATTTGGAAAAGTCCAAGCAACTGCAGCAAGATAGTAAAATGGCATCAGGTGATAGCAATGAGAATAATGTCATGGAAGATGTCAATTCGACGGATAGCGACAAGGCAGCAGGTTCTAGTTCTGGTTCGAATAATTCTGGTAAACATTGATATTATTGATATTATTTTGAAGATATTTGAAGAATTATTTTAGCATTATTTTAACATAGCCATATCTTTAAAAAAACATTCTATATTTATATATTTATTTTTTTAGTATAAGTATATAAATTTATATAAATTTATATAAATTTAAAATAAAAACACAAAAGTCACAAATTAAATTAAAACTTAAAAATAAGCTCTTTAATTGAACATTTATAAGTATACAATCTCTTTTTTCAGATGGATTATGTATGACAAAACCAGAGAATATAGCAATAGTGATAGAATTTTTGACACTTGTATGCGCGGAAGGCAGAATGCGTGATTGGCTTGGTGAAGAAGGCCGTGGTTTCTGGTTACCTCTTTTATCGCTTCTTAGTAATCGTCCTATTGAAAGCCCGTCTGCATCTGCAGCGAGGTGTGTTTATCCATTATTTTAGATAATAAATCTACGATAACATAAATTCAGCATCTCGTGACACATATGTGTATGTTATTTTATATTATAACTTATTGCAGTTGTTCAAAGACAAGCGCATCATATGCTTTACTGGAAAGCGCTATGATTAAATTCTTATCGAGATGTTGTTGGTGTCATCTTGCTAATCAAAAATTACTAGCGAAGCTTCTTATCGAAGTTATTTCTCAACAACGAACTACTTCCAGTAAGTGTACTGTGATATTGAATACTATTCGCATAATTTATTAAGTTTTCTTGATATATCCTAATTAATAAATTATTTGAGTCGATTCCATTAAATAATGTAATACAATTATAACAGATGTACGATATCTCCACGGCATTTCTGGATTTACGCGAAGATTAATTTTGCAATTACTCTTGGAAGGAGAGAAAGTGTTGGTTTCGGTAACATCGGAAGCTCCTATGAAAGTTTCAGCAACCGCGACCAATCATAGTATGTCATCTATGCCGCCACATCCTGCTCATCCCCTCGGTCACTATCATCAATTATTATATATGTCAACACAATCAACGGTGGCAGATATATTACAACAAGTATCAGGTACGCTTATATAAAGTATAGTTATACATTAAATAAGAATAATGGATAAAAAAATAAAAGACGAGAGAGAGAGAGAGAGAGAACAGAAAGAATATAAATATTAGAAAATTTATATATTTTTGATACGATGAATGTTTATTGAAAATTTAATTTTTAAGGAACATGGCTTCTCTTGTTACTTCCAAATATATATAAGGGTAACGAAGCAAGTTCTAATGGAAACAATCGTTCTCGTGAATTCTGGGAATCGGGAATGTCATTGGTGGTGGACACACTTAGCGTAGCTGCTGGGAATACGGCGAAAGACAAGCGGGCTAAAGAAGTATCGAATAGATCGCAAGCTCGTGGCCCTATTATTAGAAAAGCGCGTTTAACTTCTGGTATGTTATTTGATATTAATATTTTATTTTGTATTTCGAAGTTAATTATTTTTGACAATAAAATAAAAGTACGATATATAATATGTATACTATAAATAAGAGAACAATTTTATAATTAATAGATTTGCATAATTTTATGTACTGTTTATTATTGTATTGCTTAATTGAAATTATTTTTATATTATTTAATAGACGGAACGCCGGTAGCGAGCAAAACCTTGACTAATAATGCACAAGCAAACCCAGCCAACACGACAAATCAACAGTACCTTATACATTCGTCTCGTCCAAATACTCCTCTACCGCCTCAGCTTACAATCGCGCAACTCTTGGCGATCGCTGAGGATAGCGGCGTTTCGTTATCTGAACCGTGCTTACATCTTATCTTACGTCAACGTAATAAGGATTCCAAAGGTATCTAATTTTTTTTTCTACTTGTGCGGATAATGTATAATAAAATTATACTATTTCAATATTGATTGTTTGAAACTGAAAGAACATGAATCTTTGTAAATCACTATACGAATTCATGCGTTGTTTATTTGCAGAAGACACGGCGAAGCAGACTGATAGCGAACTGTTGAACTACAGAAGCATAGAAAGTTCATTAGGCGTCTTCAGCGCCGGTGGCGGATTGGCGGTGTTGGCACGTCATTTGCCTTTAGTATATCCGGATCCCGGAAGACCGTCGTTCTTCGTCGAGAAATCGCCATCGCCAGAGCAGACTGATGCCGATTGGGTAAAACTAGAGACCAACGATGATATTTACGACGCCTTGGAGGAGGGTAGAACAAATTGTCCACCGAAGACATCGGTTCCCGCTCCTTACGTGCCACCACATTCTCTCGCGGCTTTCGGTTTGTTCCTGAGATTACCGGGCTATGCCGAAGTGTTGCTGAGAGACAAGAAACGAGCGCAGTGTCTGCTGCGGCTGGCTCTCGGAGTTTCTGACGACGGCGAAGGCGGCGAGGTGCTGACCTCGCCCTTGGCTGCTTCATTGCCGACCCTGCCGTTCCAAGTTCTGAAGCAACTGTTGGACGCCACATCACCGACTACCGATGATGGGTTGCTTTTACGAGGGACAACCATCGAAGTAGGCGCTATGTTGCTACTGTTAAACTGTCTGGCGATATTCACGCACCAAACTGGACAGAACGACAGTTCAACCGAACATAAGACCGGTCAGATTGGCAGTGTGATTGGTGGTAATACTAGTGGAGGACGCAGCGATGACAATTCTCATCTATATTGGGCAAAGGGTACTGGTTTCGGAACTGGATCTACGCAACAATCATGGAATGTGGAACAGGCACTGTTACGCCAACGATGCGAGGATGAGCATGTGACAGTTTTATTACAGGTTCTCGCTAGTTATATTGGTACATCGGGAGGCGGACAACCCCAACAGGAACTACCTGCTTCATTTCCCGATCTACTGGCACGTTCGTGCTTACTTCCTGCATTATCATCGTATCTACGAAACGATTCTGTTCTTGATATGGCCAGACATATACCTCTGTATCGCGCGGTCTTGCAGTTACTCCGTGCGATGGCACTCTCCAGTCAATTAGCGCCACTTTTATTACCGCGCGGTGGTAGATCCGGAGAACCGTCCGTGGTGTCCCTCTTGTCGAGCATGAAAGTGTGCGTGGACACTTACGTGAACAAAATAAATCGCACGAGGGGCAACAAAACGAACATGAAAGTGATGTCCAAGTATCCCGACGATACAGAACAGGATGAAGGATTGGCCACATTAATTCCCGATATACAGGAAAGCGCAACTATAGTGAAAAACGCGACGTGCCGATTATCCGTTATTGGCGAAGAACTCGGATCGAGTCCAACAGCGCCGGAATTACCATTGCGTTCAAACTTGGAGCACCGATACTTGGAAGTAATGAAGAATCTACAATTCGGTGAGTTCTCTATTCAATGCACAGCATATTCAAAATTTAGGAAGAATTGTTTACATAATCATAAAGTCCTTTGTGGATTAAGAATTATTAAATAGCTCCAAGTAAAAAAAAACGATGTTAGATTTTTAATTTTTAAATATTTTCCACAATCCGATTTAATAATACGTGATTATAGTTCAAATATATATACTTATTCTTTAAATAAAAAATTTTTAAACTTTGTTAGACAAATTTTTATATAATTAGAATGCAAGTTTACATATTAAATTATTTTCTTGTAATATTTTCAAAATGAAGAAATATAATTCTAAAGAGTCTAAAATGATTACAAAATTATTAATAAAAATATAATATTTATAGTTAACACTTATATTAATACCACAGATACTTACGAAATGATTACTGAGAATCCAGACGGTGGAGGTTATAAATTTACTGTTTCGTATCACTTCGAATCGAATATGAGGGCTGCCGGCGAAAGAAGTCATCCAACCCGAGTGAAAAGATTAGCCCAAGAAGCCGTCACGCTCTCGACAGCGTTGCCTCTGTCTTACAGTAGTAGTGTGTTTGTAAGATGCGACGCAGATAGATTGGATATTATGAAGGTATATTATCTTTCTCATGAAGCTCAACTTAATCCTATTGCTGCGTCTATTCGTCAATTATCATTTTTAACACGTGATAACTTCATGGATATTGATAATCTTAAATATCATAATAAAAGAAATAGATAGAACAGCAGGGTTAATAGTCATCTAATAGCTATATGACTTTTAAGCATCGGAATGTATTTCATAATATTATTGCTAAGACAATGTGCATAGGATTTTAATTAAATCGAATATCAAAGGTTACATCTCTGTTCAGTGAAATTGCGACACGAAGAAATCTTGAAGATATCTAAATTTGTGCGAATTTTATTTTATTGATTAGCGATAGATTATGATAGAAACAAAATGTAAATTTTTGTAAATTTCAATAGTATATACATGAAAGAATATTTTATATTTTTTTCGAGATCACCCGGTGCTTAAGGGTTGAAACTAGCGGCTCAAGTCTCGCATGTATGTGCGTTATGATTATAACACGATGTATACGATTGTTAAAGGTACTCATAACGGGGCCAGCAGAAACGCCGTACGCAAACGGTTGTTTTGAGTTTGACGTGTACTTCCCTCCTGATTATCCTAACAGCCCGATGTTAATAAACTTAGAAACAACGGGTCGTCATACGGTGCGCTTCAATCCGAATTTATATAATGACGGGAAGGTCTGTCTCAGCGTACTGAACACTTGGCATGGTCGACCTGAGGAGAAGTGGAATGCGCACACAAGTAGTTTTCTTCAGGTAAATTCCCTATATCAAAGATTTTATTTATTAGTCGATTTTGATAAAATTTTTTTGTTAAAAATTAATTTATCTAGTGGGTAGTTTAATATTAAGTTTGCAAATAAATTTTAAAAATTTTAGCAACAAAAAGAAGACTATTAACTAAATAATATCGTTACAATTTGATTTGTTGAAAACAGGTTTTAGTATCAATACAGTCGCTAATCTTAGTGTCAGAACCCTATTTCAATGAGCCTGGATACGAACGATCACGGGGTACGTCAAGCGGTGCTCAATCTAGTCAAGAGTACAATGCGAATATTTGTCAGGCTACTGCCAAATGGGCAATGCTCGATCAAATACGCAATCCTTGTCCATGCTTTAAGGAGGTACGTTAAGCGTATAAATAGTTTTAAAATGACTTAAACGATCGAGATATATCTTTTTATAATAACGTGTCTTTACTCGTTTATTCTAATAAAAATTTATAATAATTAATAAAATAATAGATAATAATTATTAAAATGTTAGATATATTGTTTTTAGCACAATGGAGAAATTGCAATAACTTATTATTATTTATAATTTATATTATAAGAATGAATTTGTAGAAATTGCAGTAAATAAATCGAAATAAAGATATATCTTGAAGATTATGATTTTACAACAAATTCTTACGAGAACAAGTGATAAAGATTTGATCATTTTGCGACAGGTAATACATACTCACTTTTGGATAAAAAGGCATGAGATTGTTGAACAACTGGAAGGATGGATAAGAGATATGGAAATGCATGGCTCAGATCGTAGGTCAGGTCGTACCATTTCTCTCAACGCATTGTCTCTTAGGGTAAATGTTATATTTAAAAAAAAAAGATAGATCAAAGATAGTCAAAATTTTCCATTTGTTATTATCATAATCATAACTTTACCTTTTACGTATTTTTCTCTTGTATATTCACAGAGGCATTATAGACTATTGAGGGAGGAACTAAATAAACTGCCAACGCCCAAAGGATTAGAGGATTTGGCCGAACCTCTTGCATCGCCAGGCTCGCCCATCGAACTTTCAGGGACCCCAGGTACAACACCGAATACACCATCGACGATTACGGCATCCGCGACCGCTACAGTGGCTACTCCCATCACTACTAACACTATGGTTCCGATCAGCAATAGCAGCACGAGTAGCCATGTGCATCACGACATCGATACAGATGTCGAGATGGAGAAGATGGTTTCGAAAATGTGTGAATAGCTAAAGGATGTTAATAGACATTGTTGGACATTTTGAAAAGAGTCTATTGTTTGTGTTACGAAATGAACAAATGGACGTTAAACATGAACAGATGACACAACGGACTGAAAACAAGTGCACAGATATCTTGTCCAGCGGCCGAATCACCGATGCTTAGCCAAGACGTTAGAGAAGAAAGCAGTAATGACTTTCGGCCGTATACATAATAACGCTGATGATAATTATTACAATGATGCTGATGATGAGAAGATGTAGGTAGAAAAATATAAGGCGTGGTAGAGCGAGAATAAGTAAGAATTTTACGATAGAAAGAAAATGCGAGAGAGTGATCGAGCGAGCGAGCGTGTGCATGATGACAATGATAAGCGAATGTGCGTAATGGTAAATCGTGTGCATGGGCGAGATTAAACGAGAGAATGAAAGGGAGAACGAGAATGAGACAGATAGAGGCAAGAGAATAAGTAGCGCGAATGTAACAAACTCGTGCGTAGTAGATACTTTTTATAGCCGCTGCTATAGTACGTGTACGCTGCATTCTACTACTTCGTACTACCATAAGTACCACAACTGTTATTCGATATTTATTATACATGTTCCTCGTTTGTGTAGCATAACTCTGAATTAGCTGCACTCTCATGTGAATTTTCGACATTACGTTTATATCCTCTCCTTGTCGCTCGTGTCTTCCAAGAATGACGCGGTCGCACATTAATGCCCGTGTATAAATGTACGTTCTCTTTTTAACGATATTTTACTTTATCAATAATTGTAGTGCTTGTTTTCTCTTTTATATATATACACATATATATATATATAGCTCTATGTACGATTCTATCTATGTATGATTAAATCGCTGACGCATCGTTCTCTTCGTTTTAAATGTATTTCTATATTGGGGGGGATACAGTATAATTATATTTTATTAGTAGATCTGCTTTATTAAATATCTCTTCATGCACGAGCCGATCGCCGAGCGTTTAAACAGATTTGTTATTAAAGGCTACGGGCGGCAACGAAGAGACAATATAAGCACGATAGAAATCGACGAAAGTAAGACGTGATACGTGCAACTAATTACGAGTTATTGATGTAGCAGGTATCCCTGCGCGCAATGCGATCGAATCTAAATGACTGTCATCTGAACGAGACGACGATCTAGATACATCGTTAGATAACGTTTAATATAATAGTACGTGTTCTATGTCGATTGAACGAACAACTAAAAAAAAAAAATGATATCTTGGAGAAAATGGAAAACCAGGTGGTACATTTCTCGCGTAAACGAGAATTGCTCTTTGTAATTGTAACAGCTACTTAGTACACGTAAATTTCATATGAATCGACCATATGAACGAATAAAGTCACATTGTTTTGAGATAGTCTTCCATCCCGTTCTTTTTCGTCTAAATCTATTCTTATCACCGTCTATTTGAAATTATATTCCAGAGAAAGAAAGTGATATGCAATCAATTTTATTTTCTGTATTTATTCTCCTATTACTTATCATATATTTATTTATCTTCTCACTTCGGGAATGATATTTGAAAATATTTAAGCTACGTCAAAAAATTAAGCACACACTATTTCTTCCGATTAAATCAAGAGTAACGAAATAAATAAGTTTTCAAAAATATTTTATTGATATATAATGCAAAAAAGAAATTATTTATTTTATATTTCTTTTGTATCGTACATTAATAAAATATTTTTTAAAACTTATTTGTTCTATTATTTATTTTTAATTTAATAAAAAAAGATGTATGCTTCGACTTTTGACAAATATTAATGAATTTATTTCTTTTTGGATAAGTGATTAGACGAGAAAATATGTTAGAGTGTGTGTACCTTGAAACGAGGTGAAAATTACAAAAGTGAGAAAATTTGATTGATTTCGACAAAAAGTCGCAGATATAAGATTTAAAATTTTCTCACTCTTGTAATTTTCAGCTCGTTTCGAGATACACAATTGATCCTCAGGTTTCTCAGGCGTCTATAAAATTCCGCCCGGTTTTAAATTTCGCGCCCTCCAAGGTCGTAAATCGAATCGAATTGAAGCAAGTGGCAGATTTAAATTCCGAGGGCTAACTTCGCGAAGGACGCGAAGCGCAATGGCAAGGTAAGGCGATTCAAAGCTTTTTCCCCATTAAAATCGTGAACATCCCACGTATCCAAACTACATATCTCATTATTCCAACCGGCGAGGCTCTTTTCGCGCATAAACCTCATTCGATAAGTGCACCTCATTCAATAAAATACGATTTATGTGCATTCTGCGCCTTCGGTGAAAAACGGATCTGTCTAACAACGGTCACTCGAGATCGTCCATTGAGTCGCAAGTAAATTCTTTGTATTCCGTTCCGGCGATCTCTGCATTAACAAAGAAAGGTAATCTTCGTCGAAGTTATCATGATCATTTTGACTCGTTGAAAAGAAATTCCAAAGATTGTTTCGCCCGTCGAGTTCAACGTCGCGATAATGGCGGTGGGAGACAGGAGCGGTGCGTCGTGCGGTGAAATTCACGCGGTTAACGCAGGTCAGTTAACGCGCGAGGACGCGGAGGACGAGAGTGTCTTTGGGGACGCGGGCGTCATCCGCCGGGTGTATTGTCCGGGTCTCGGTGTCGCGCCGCACCGCGCCGTAGGATGCACGGTGGCCGCGCGGAGGAGTGGGCAGCATGAATTATACGCGAGATCGTTGTCCGCGTAGCTGGTGCTGCGCGCCGGGAGGGGGCGGAGATCGCGGGGGATCGGCGCTCCGGGCGGCTTGGGGCGCACTTCAGTCGGTGCGTGAGCGCGGTTCAAATCGGTCGTGTTGTTCCTCGCACGCTCGCGGCGTTCCCTCTCGCGTTTCCGAGAAGCCGCGCTTCTCGACCGCCGGCGAACGCAATTCGATCCCGTCGACGTTTCTCGTCGTCCCGCATCAGGGGAGGTTCGGCACGAGGAAGGAGAACCGCGACGATCGCCGTTGTCACGCGATCAGATCATCGGCGGGCGCGGGTTTCGATCGCGGGATCGCTCGTTGGCGCGCGCGCTCGCGCTCGCGCACGCAAGCGTCAAGCAACGAGGAAGCAAGAGGACAAGCAAACGAGCGAGCGAGCAAACACCCGGGCAGCACACTTCGGATCCGCGTTTCCGAATCCGCGGCTGCGGGTAAGTGTCTCTTAATCCTCCCGCGATCAGTCGCAATCAGAGCGATAGAATACTCGCCGCGCGAAGAATATTCGCGCACTCGTGTCGCATCAGATGCACGACATCCGCGAGCGATTCCGAAATGAGCCTGTGAAAATGAGTAGTTACACCGCCGCGCGACACCGAGACGCATTACGCAATATTTAAATTCGTATTTTTAGGCTTAGGGACTGCGTGCGCGCGCGAGCTCGCGCGCGATACGCTCGGTTCATGAGCTCTCGTTGCTCGCGGCTTAAACTCTACTCGCGAGAAGAGCCCTGAGTGAATTTGACATGCACATTCCTTCGAGATCTAGAATCGATCTCGGATTGATCCGGAGGGACTTCCCGGGGGGGGGGGGGGGAATCCGCGTGGTTTTTCTGAAACTCGATCCCGGCAGTAAATCCGACATTTCTCTCTTCGCAGATGGAGTTATCGATAAAACCGCCGGCGCTCGCGGCTGCTATTTGCATTAAACTAAGATTTGGAGTCAACGCTCGTAGCGGTACGTGACGAGGCAGGTGGAAACATGTGCGTACGGGCGAGTGTAAATTTAACACGGGTTTAAAATCAGGCGGTGCGCGCGTGTGCGCGCGTACATGCGTGCGTACATGCGTGCGTGCGCGCGAGCTGAAAATGCACACTACCGGTTTCCATCTAGTTTCCATTCCTCCTCGCCTCGCTGCGGTCTTGTCTACCGTGTGTGTTGTACGCGCACGGTCGCCCGACGTTAAGCCCGATTCACGCAGCCACCGGCAGAAGCGTTATACAATGTAATTTATGGATACGGAGATAGCCCCGCTAATCGTCACCGATATACGAATCGACATCGATGACAGACGACCGGAGAGAATCTCTCACGAGAGCTCTAGCGGTCGAGTCCGCTAATCGCCGTTGAAGCCGACGAACGCCTCGTACGCCTCAAAAAGTAAGATAAACGACGGAAAGTTTAATCCTCTTCGGCACATTTATTGCTTTCTCGATTGCATCGTCGTTGCATTCTTGGAGCGATTCGTTCATTTCATTTTTAACAATAATCGCTTCTCTCCGTAGGACATAGGAGGAACGGCGATGTTTGGAGAAGCTCCGGAATATCTCGGAACTTTGCTTCGCGCATTCCTCTTTGCATAACACCAGGGATTCTCGTAAATCATGGAGAGAATCGTGGAGTTTGGACGCTTCGAAATACCATGAAATCTCTCCGCCTGTATTTCCTTGTAATGCGAAGAATTCTCTCTCGCTTTTCCCGCGCAGCTATGGTGCAACGAAAATTTATGCGCATACGCCCTTCGACATTTTCTTTCCTTTCGTCTATTCTTAGATTTCCTCTTTGTGCAACAAAGTAATAGCTGTTAAATTAAATTTGTCCTCGGCTACCGTGTTGAATCTATCGATGTAGATTTATCGAACGGATACCGTCAATGAACGAGCAATTTGTTCCTTCGATTCATTTTTTTGCCAGCGGCCGGGTAGCGTGAATCAAGCTTTATACGATGAAGCTTTGATAAGGAACGCGACGGAGTGTCCAATGTTAATTTTACATTCCGCATTGCAAGGCGGCGTGACGCTCATCATCAATCTTTTAATCAAAGTATTTGTTACTTCGAGATGAAGTTTCGGCATGACGAGACGATAACGTAATTTAGGCCCATCCTCTCTCCACATCGGTGATCGTTAATTACAATGAAATCAGAAGAACTATCTCGAAAGATCATTTGTCTTTGTTTAACGATCTCTTGTCTCGATCGTTGTAGGAATAATAAATCCGAATATTTGCACGATGATCCACGACTTAACTGAATTTAATGAGAAATTTCTTCTGGATAATCGATCGATTTCTTCAAAAAAATATCAAGATTAATAATTTTTGAAGTTGAAGAAACAAGAACTTTTTATCAAACTTTGAAAAGAATCGAACGTTTAACAAGTAGACTTTATATCATCCGATTTTTTCTGATGTTCAATGCAAACATTTGTTGACGAGGTAAGATATCTTTTTACATCTACGAGATGTTTATTCCATTAAGCATTGCTGTGCGAAAACATTGCGGACAAATGAGCAGCAATATCATCTTACGGTATTATTATATCCTTAAATGCGCATATTAATATATTCAATATCGTCAATCAGGTCTTTGATCAATGGAGAAAGTAATCGTCGTGGAAACATCGCTATACATTACGTGGTCTCTGAGCGAGACGAGCAAGAGATGGCGGATCGTGCGGATTGCGTGAAATTTCGAGACAAAGATTTATCGATCGTGTAACAGATTGATCAAACTCAGTGCGTGCGATATGGGACGAGAATAGTTTGACCCAGACCTTAAGAGATTCCCGAGGTCGGCAGCCGCGCGCGCCGAGTAACTTTTATATTTCACTTGCTCCCGACCTTGATGACGCGGCGGATTTAAACTTTTCCGCCCTAAAAAAAACTTGGACATTCCCCTAAGAATATCGCCTCCCGAAGAAAGACGAGAGTAACGAGTTATATATACATTTTCCTTCGCTCAGCCTTGACGAGCGACGGCCCGGTGGAGATTTAAGCTTTCTCCCGAATCCATCTAGCGCCCGACAAGAAGCATTATCCCTCAAGGAAAGACAAAAAATAAATATAAGACAAGGTTCTGTCTCGTCGATTTAATCTCTCACTGACGAGAAATCGTTTGTTTGGTTTCAGGGAAGCGTCGCTCAGCAACTCGAGGGAGAAGACCGAGCCGTACAGCACGGATGAGATTTAACTCGTAAAATTTGTGCCCCGCGTGAAAGTCGAGGGTTTCAGTCATCTCGCTCATCGTTCATCGGACCGATTGATTACGCGCGCCTTCGTCGCGCTTCGACTTGGACTACAGAAATGCTCTTCGCGGGATCGTCGAGAGAAGGAGAGCGACGATGCTGGTGCAACAGATGTAAGCTTCCGGCGATGTGAAACGCGAGATGCGAAGCGAGAGAAACGACCAGATCGGACGTTGGACTGGAGAGAATGAGCTATGATATCCGTTCCTGAGGGTTCAGGTGCGATCGACGCGATGCACTCTTCCAGTCGGCCGCTCTTCGAATAACTGTCCCGATACGCACAGGTATAGGCACAAGTATGATCGAGGTCCTTCGAGAGAGATAAGACCAGGACGCGGGGCGAGATCCGCGCGTCTTTAATGGACGTTGCGCCGATCCTGGTTGCATTCTGTTGGCGAGTCGTCGTTTGCGGGGAAAACAAGATTCGAGAGGAGGAAGAGGGACCTTGAGAGACCTCCGTCCGTCGTGAGGATTTTATGGATACGCACCGGAGGCTCTCGGTTCTCGAACGCTTCGGAATACCTGGTTCAGAGTATCCGCGATAATCATTGCGTCGCGCGATGACGCGCTCAGAATGATCGATTGACGCGTGGTGAGATCGATGTGAGCTCTTGATGATATATACGCCTTATATATATATATCCCGAGTACATTAGTGATCGCTCTCGAATAGAGTCGGGAAACGCTGAACACGTTTTCGAACGAACGAAGATAGATGCGCGTGCACCAGTGGGAATCGCAGAGATGTCGCGAATTTCGAATCGCGTCGCCACGATTGGCGCGGCCCTCGCCATCGTTTTGCTCGTGATACTCCTAGTAATCTTGTGGTCCGACGTGCGCAACGTGGACAGGATCGAGGACCTTGCTCGGAAGAATTCGACGGCCGAGCGTGTCGTTAACGAAACGCGGAAGAAGCAAACAGGCAGTCTGCATATCGCCACGACGGATCTCGTTACAACGTTCGAGTCTATCGAGCAGAATCTCACAAATGAGGGTGAGTCTCGCTTATCTATTTTGCTTGTATATTTTATTGACGGAGAAACACATTCTTTGTATACTTAAAATAAGTCTTGATACGCGAAGATATGCGAACGTGTATGCATGTGTTTCTGCGACGTAACGAGTATCTTGAGCTTTTCAGGCCAGAATCGAACGACATTGTGTGGAATTATCAGCGATAGACCAGTTAGATTAGCACGCTCGATTGAGGTAGAGAAAATTAGCACGTATCTCAGACACGAGACGACATTGTAAAGGCCGCTGCTCCGAAGCTGCTCACACCCACGTTTACAAACTCCTTCTCCTCGTGCTCCTTACAGCTGCGTTTACTCTTTGGTACATATACTTTCTATTTGTCTGCATCTCCAACTTTTTCTGCATTCTCAGTAGCATTCGCTGCGAAAAATAGAATCCGTTCTTTAATCCGTTAAAAAAGCATTTCATCGAATTCTTGACGAGTCGCTTGGCTTTTAAATTTTATTAGACTTTAATTTTATAGATTTGTTTTTTATTTTCTTAAGTTTGCTTTCCATCGAAAATTTTTTTCTCCCATGGAAACGCGCGTGTAGAATCATTAAAATTCTAATAGCTATGATAAGACGTTATGTCAATACTGTGCCAGTCTTGAAACTTTCGATATTCTTAATGCGCAGCGTACGAAAGAATGTGTGTCGTGCATTATTACGCGTAAGCACATAGACACGCGTGTATATAAAATCGCACGATAATGGCAACATCCGTGTTTCATACAGAAACATCCGCATTGCGTTGTTCTTCACTGCTGCTTCTTCGTTCTCTGTACATTCTTCTTTCGCGACTCGTGAGTCTCTTACGTGAAAATAATTATCTGCACGAAGGGTGTAACATCTGTAGGAAGAGATTATCTTTAATATCTTACGTTACGTATTGTTCTCAATCAATAATAGGCAATTTAATATAATAAACTGAGAATATCATTTAAATAATAGGTGAATAATAAGTGACAAATACACGAGATAGGATCTAATAATTTTTTTTAATTTTTTGAATTTTTATATACATATGTATAAATTTAAGATATATAATTGCTTATGTCACCAATCACGTATCAATAACAATGTATTTTTTTTCTAGAGAATGAATCTGAACGCAGGCACGTACAGACGTTTTTCGTCCGCAGTGTCTGAGAAGCGACTCGGAAATTCAAGTATCTTTTTCGGCTGTTACGAAATTCTATCCTCCTCCTCCTCCTTTCCGAAAACGAATGTTCTGAGAAGCGATATCGTTGTAATGAGGTAGATATACGTTTTCGCGAATTTGCCAGCAAGCTCGTTCGTTAAAACGCACACAACGCATAATCGCGGCCGCCTCGTGTGACATCGCGCGCTCGCGCGTTGATAAGACGTATTCTTCGCCCGGCCACGTTGGCATCATGACACAAAACATCGCGCCTACACGAGAACGTAATGTAGGATAGACGGACGTGCATATGAACGTGTGCGGCTCGCAGAAGGGAGAGACACGGGGGAGGAACGTTTGATGTAACTAAAAGTGCAGGCCGCGTGCGAGCGGCGAACGCCACTAAAAGTGCGTACGTCATGAAGGCTCGTGTTTCTGCCAGGGTCAGCAGACGTGAGTATCACGCGTTCGACTAAGCACAACGTCGTCCTCGTGAAGTATCTTCTACCGCGTTTGCTTTCAAACACCTTTTCGAACTCCCTGCCGACGAGCCGGAGTCTTGCACGTAGAATCAAACAAACTTATGTGGTCCATTATAAGTCTAAACTCTTATCGACGTAATGTAAACTTAATTTATCTGCTTGGAGAGTCGGCTTTTAGATTCTATAAGACTGTACTTATACTTATATTTTTGAAAAGAATGATTTTGTGTCAAGTGTTTAAAGATTCGACCAGATAAAAAAATCTGAAAATAATTTTATTAAAATTATTATTTATAGGATGCTTAAGCATGATAACATTAAAAAAATTTTTTTATATTTTATTAACTGATTTAAACATTCTACATACGTATTTTGGTAGCCCGATAAAATTATTTTTAGTCGAATTTTTAAATACTTGAACAAAAGGATTTTTTTCTGTATAGAGATTTGATAAAAATTGTTAGCCGGATTTGAAGGCAGACGAGTCGTTCCCCGGCTATTATTTCTCGAGAAACGTTTGCTGCTAAAAAATCCAATAATTGCGAATTTAATTAATGTTTTATAAACCGCTGACAGCTCGTACGTCCGTCTGTATGTCCGTGATTTGTATCTTTACGAAACGCGATACGCTGTCAAAGTCATCTTCTGCAATCGTCCGATCGCCATCGATTTTGTAATTTCCCCTTCGGGTATGCTTTAATTGTTCACCATTTCCTGAGTTCCATTACCAGTTGCTCTTGGACTACGTTCTAAAGTGTTGCGTGCCGTTTAAACGAGTCCTTGGTGGTTAGTCCATATTAGCCGGCATGATGCAGCAACGTATGAACGCACCGTCTCTCCGTAAATGTCCGGACTAACGCGCGAATGCAACTCACCTACGGAAATTCTTTATCAACGAGAAACGAAGTTTCTCCAACTCACCGTTTGCCACCATTTGGGAGACGCGAGTTGGATTGCGATGATGAACACGTGTGTTCGCCAACTTCACTCTCGAGATCTTCAAATTTCCTCAAAAGATTTCGACATCCAATAACAAAGTCGAAGGGAAAATTAATCGAGGAGGAAGACTAATCCTATGCAACGATATGTCTTCGTGAAAGCATTCGGTGCCTCGTCATCTGGGACGAAGGTGTTCGATCAGAGAACTCCATTCTTTTAGCTCCCACGCAATCAACATCCTTCTTTCTTAATAGGCACGACCGGTTATTAGAAGGCGACATCGATAAATTTTACGGAGACGTCGGAGAGTTTTGTTCTGTTACTTTATGTGTCATGTCTGAATAATTTTTGATTTAATATCGCAGACTCGTCGTGAAATTTTCAAGGCGGTACACATATCACGTGTAAAAGGATTTACATTTTTGCATAAGATACAAGACACGAGAAATTACACGCATTGAATCTTAATGGAGGAATGCGTCTGCGCGCATTTGGGCTCGTCGTGTGTATTAACATTTAACGCATCGTGTGTATTTAGATACTCGGAAGCTGTAAACGAAGATTGAAATAGACTGACAATTTGTTTCGACAGATGGGAGAGAATTCTTTGTTTGGTCGGGTTGCTAAACGGAGGGTTGCTTAAACAGGCAGGTAGATCCACGAGACGTCGTGTCTTTGATTCGTCTAAGAACCGGGTGATATTTGAAGCATCTTGGAAAGATTTACTCAGGCGCTGACGAGACTACGAATGCACAGGATGCGGTATCGCTGTCAGACTCTTTAAACTCTTGTCCGTAAACATTTTGGTCGATCTACAGAACTCGGACCACTGTGCCTCTCGCTACGGGATATATCGGTTGCACCGGTCATAATTTACGTCTGAGACTATATTCGAGTTAAAATAGCCAAAAGCCAGCTGGCACTCTGGGACGATACGATAATGTTCGATGGTCTTGAACCTTAACGGCATCAATGCCACTCGCGATTTTATGGCACCTTTGCTCCGTTATCCCCTTCGGCTCAGTTTTTAATAGATTTTACTTTGGCACATTTCGCTTCATGATCCTGCAGTGAACAAGCTTGCTCGTTGCAAAATTGTCATAGATAGATTTTTCATCAGTAAATCAGTAACAGAATAATTCAGAATAAATAATTTTTCATATTTTAGCTTTTATTATATTTTTGGATGAAACACATTTTTTTATTTTATTTTTAATTTTAAAATTGTGTATTCAACTTTTCTAATTTGAATTTGAATTTTTTTTTTTATAGCGATTGGAGTGCAAATAGTGAAGTCAACTTTTTGTTGTTATGTTACTTTTCAATACCGTCGGAGAGAAATATGAAAAGATAAATGTCTATTAGTTCCCGTTTCATATACACTTTGATCAACTATTCAAATTGATAGCTATTGACATTAACACACTTTATTCTCACCGCGATCAATCGACCGATTGCATAATTTTGCAGTATCTAATCTAGTCCAGTAATAATACGGTGGCATGTGTTTTTTATCGTCGCTATTCAGAGTAAACTGCTGTACTCCAAACTTATTTGCCGTGCTGACGTTGCAGTTGACTCTGCAAAGTGAGATATAATTTATTGCCTTCTTGAAACATGTCTGCATTAAAAGTTATTAACACGATTCGCCGAGATCATATTTGTCGATGGAACTAGGTAGCAAGTTATAACTTACTTGCGTAAGCGTAATACGTTTCTAACTCGGCTTGAACTCGGAAAAGATCTTTTTAATCTTTTCCTTTCACATTCTCTTAAAAGTAAGTAGTTAACGAAACATGACAGAGATCTTATCTATCGATATGAAGAAGCAAATTATTCTGCCACATATGTATATTAACAATTAATTCAATGTGTCGCTCTTCGATTATATCAATATATAAATATAAATTAATAATGCGACTGGATTTTCCTCGAGCTTTCGAGGGAATTTTATGCATTCGTTATCTCATTTGAAAAAAAAAAAACATCCGAAGGGGAATTATTTCGTTCGTGTTCAGTGTCTTTTTGCCGGATGACTTAACTCTCTCATGTGTTTCCAGGCTCGTGTTTCGATACAGTAATTAAACGGCAACGCACGCGGGACACTGCAGACATTCTTTCTCACACGAACAGTATCTGCCTTGTGGCACGGCAGAGGAAGGCGAACGAGTGTCACTCGGCACAAGTCGAGATGGTCGAAGCGTAAACGTTTACGCGACAGGAGCGGTCTGGCAGTAATGAGAATGGATCTTTTGTACGAGAAAAACAATGTCACCTAAACGCCTCGGTTCAACGACACATGGCACTCGGAGATTTCTGACTATATAGACTATCGGTTCGTGGAAACGTTTTCGTTAGTGAAGAATTTAATGACGGATCTCATCGTTACAAGAATGCACAAGAGTATATTGGAAATATTGATAGAAATAGAAATCATCGCGTTGCATAGTTTATTAAATATGATTTTTGTCTCTTCTTTTCTTCTTTCTCGTTCGTTGGCGTCAGAAGGAATATTTTAAAAATTGCTCAACGATAACCATGCGCTTCGAGTGGTTGATTAATCTAGTTTTCTTTTCTTTCTTTCTCTTCTTCACGACATAATCGCAAAGATGTGATTATGCGCGTGTTACGTTGCGATTTCAGTATTCATTATTAATATCACATTACCACTTTTATGCCATGCTTGAGAGTCAAGACTTGTTATTTATGACGGAGCTCTATCCGACTCATTCCGACTTTCAGTTAAACAATTAAGAGGATTGTCGGTTACTAGTGAGAGATACAAAAACGTTTTAAGTATCGTATTAAGTATCGTAGAAAAAATTACTAGTACATGCAAAAAAATTGTATAAGTTTAAGAAGACAGTTTAACTCTTTCCTTCATTTTTGCTCACAGGTTTTTAAAGAACAATTTTGAATTGTCGGTTTTAATTGCTTCATTATCGAATAATCAATGCAAGTTAATTTCTCCTTGCAGATGATAATACAAGATATAATGATAATTATTGTACATATTTTCCTTTTTTTATTTGTGATAATCCAATGCAATCTCAAAGTAAAATGCAAAAGATATTTATAGCTCGCACGTCTCGCTTTGAAATGGAACGGAAGCGGTTATTGTTGAGGGAGAAGAAGGAGAAGGAAAGGATTCTTTTTGCGAATTTTAGGGCGCAAAACAAACGTGTCGCTCGAAAGGGGTAGCGCACGTTTCCGTTGGTATTTTCAGGAGTGTTACGCTTCATAGATGATTTTCAAGTCGAGGAAGTTGAAACGAACAATTACTGTTACTCTACGCGGTTTCGACAAACAGTCCCGCGCGTACAGCAACTAAATGCATCGTGCGACGTGACGAAAATGTAAACATTTTAAAGCATTGGATTTGGTGACGTATATTTTGAGATACTGAACATATATTGCTGCTGCATGTTTTCAAGTTTTCTTGACGTACTCAGGCCGAGACATTTCTGTTTCAGGTCGCTACAGGAATATATAGAAATATAGTGTAAACGTTGGAACAATCGTGAGCATTTTATATCAATGCATCACATTTACGGTTATTGCAGCTGATTATGAAGAGCGTAGTCAGCGATGATACTAATTTAAAGCATTTCGTATGTCATGAAGTCGAAAAATAAGCAAAGATTATTCCACGTTACATGTAAATGTATAAAATTATCAATTTTTATCATATTTGAATATAGATTTAAACTATTGCTCGCACTAGCACATCAATTTTATCTACGTCTGTCTAAATGAAAGAAAAAGAAAACGTATCTTCCATCGTCAATCATGTACGAGATTACAAGTGAAATGAGTAACTCAATCGAATTTTCGAATGAGAGAGAGACTCGATTCAGAACATCCGCGGATCAAAGTGCGATTGATCTAAGACCATTTGTATCTATCTGAACATGACGTGCTAGTGACGAGAAGCGATCGTTTAATGTTGAGGATCTATTCGAGCGGACCTGCGTAGCCGCGTAATAATACGCATGGAAGAAAAATCGACCGATTATGCATCTGGTAAAAGGATATATCCGCTCTCCTGTGTCTCATTAACGTTAAACGCATGTAATGATAGACACGTGAATGATCTCGTTGCGCGTGCATGTATGCTATTGCGGCTATGCAAATCCCTCCGCCTGGATAGATCTTAGCGCATTCACGCCGCATACACGCTGACAACAAGCGAGCGGATAACAACGGATAACTACGCAGCCGACGATGTTCTCCGCGGCCTGGGGCCTACCAGATCGTCTCTCTTTTCCACTTGAATGGCCATTCGTAACGTGGCCTGGGATTGTGCAACGGTTTTCTAAACCGTGTGCTTCTACGACCGGCAGCGTCGCCCACGTGTCCGCGTTTTGCAACCGGGCTTAATCTACCCCGGCGCGCGCGACACGGTGTCCCTTTGTTCCGTAATCCTTCACGGTATACGTACAGCTGCCGCATAGCGTTGAACGTTTCCTTTCTGCGAGCGCGCACGTCTCGCGTTTGATATTTTATTCGGGGTAAGAGATAAAACAAATCGCGGCAGCTCGGCGCGTGTGCTCTGTGTACGCGCGGCGAGACCGTAAATTTGGCGTTACGGTTTTGTAAGGCATTCGGCGTTTATCTCCCATGACCCGTGATTCAGACCTGACATTCGATACGTCTCGCGAAAACTGTCGTGAATAATTATAGAACTGTGCGTGTGCTATGTGTTTCTCCAGACGTGCGTACGCTACCGGGAGGCCGGCGTTTGTAGGTAGTACCCGATATAATTAGGCGAGGCGATTCCGCTCGACTCCGCGTTATTCCACGAACAATTTCCTCAAGGTCCCACCGTGTGTTCCACGATCCGCCGTTAAATCTAAATTAGTGAACGTCTAATCGCGCGCCTTCGTATATAATAAACGCCCGATATGTAATAACGTAAAAAGACGCAAATTGCCAGACCGGATCGGTGCATCGGTGACTCTCGCCAGGAACCTCGTAGAACGCGCTGGTTAAATCGTTATTACGCGCAGTTACTTGGTTTATACCAGTAGATTGGCTCCTTCAGCTAGTTAGTAATTAGCGTCGCTCAACATTCGAGCGTGTAAAGTCATTTTATCTTTCGGTGAATCATTAATGTTGCTACTCGAAGAAAAAGATCTGTGATCAACAATAAAATTTTAACTGGCGATTAAATGCCGATGACGATTTCCCTTGAGAGAAGAGTTAAACTAATGGAAAATGTCTTATGTCCAATTTGTTCATATGTAAATGTTCGAAGCTTTAAATTATTTGAATTATTGTACGGATTAGTATCATGGATTAGTAATGATAATTAATGATAACTGCATTGATAAAGCATTCACGAAAGTCAGAATGGTCACTAAATTAATGTGCTGTCTTCTCGAGAGATTCGATCGTTTGTATTTCGATTTAAACTAACGGGCTTCTCTGTGAAAATATTAAGTATTTTAGAAATACTTTTTGGAGGTTCGGTTAAATTAAATTTATAAATTATTATGTAAATTATTACACAAATAATTATCAGTTTAAAAATAATGTACATTACATACATTAAAACTCGGTTGATAATTTGAAAAAAAATGTTATGACTAATTTTTCTTTTATTTCAGTGCATTCTAAGGAAGTACAAAATACGAAGAAATACAATGGCACATCGTCGATTGATGTGCTGCCGTCCGCTAAGGGAAACTTGGAATACATCAAGCCTTTAAAAATTAGTCAAAATCAATATGAGGATCCCCGTAAGTAATTGAAATACACAGGATTTTTTTCAATTTTAAACTGTCAACTTCCAGCTTTACTTGATGAAAGAGAAAGTATATGTAGCCCTCACGTATTACATGCCTTTTCTTTTACCGTTTATCTTGACCCTTTTTTTCTCTGATAGTCTTCTTGAATTTGAATGTAAGAAAGAAGCTACATTAAAAGTAAATTTACTGGTAACATGTTAAAATAAATTTATAATAAATATTTAGAAGAATGATAATTACATATACTTATATGTTGTATTTTGAAATTGCGTACAAAATAAAATATCTAAAAAAATAAAACAGAATTATTATGATTATTATACTAAAGATATATTTTATACGAGATTAAAAAATATTTTTATACCGTTCTTTTTTTTATCTTAATAATCCGCTTTACTTGACAAATTTATGTTTTTAGCCGAGAAGTTTTCCACGGCGAAGAGGCATCACAGTGGCCACTTTCGGCACGCGACAGCCGAAGTCTGGGATCCTCACCCGCAATATGAATTTACTGCCTTTGGAAAGCGATTTCGTTTGCGATTGGCACACGATGCCAGTTTTGTATCTCCCGATATAAAGGTGAGGAAGATCGATCGATCGACATTGTCTTATAATATAATCTAAACGCGTCATAAAATTATATCCCGTCTTGGCCGCCATAATATTTGGGTAAAAATCGAAGAGAGAAAGGAAGAGAAAAAGAGAGATTGAAGCGAAACGAGCTAAGGCCGCGATTCTGGTGGGCCGTTTTGCCACTTAATTGACAGCCTTAATTAGCCTTTTTACGACGTAACGTTGATGCAGGTGACGCACATGAGCGAGAACACAACCAGAAGGGAACACGCTGGTCATCACTTGGGTTGCTTCTATAGCGGGTCAGTCGACGGCGATCCAAGTTCAGCGGTCAGTGTCAGCCTTTGTCACGGAATGGTGAGTCAGAGATCAAGCTTCAGAAAAGCGTCGTCCCCGCGATTCTTTATATCGCGGAGACGTCGCGCGCACAGTTAATTCCAACCGATTATGAAGATGATAAATCTGCCCGAAGCTCATGCGCGGCTCGTTGTAGCCGTGAATTGATTAGTATAAAGTCACATATGGACAGCTAAATATATTTTCCTATCGCTCCTCGGTGAATATACTCCTATCGTTACGACCGCTATTTTAATTATTGGCATCGTTATCGCCGTTAAAAATACACGCGGACAACAGGTTGATTTTCGGTGAACTCCGGAAGTGTCGAAAGAGGAGAAACCCCTCGCGCGTGCATCGATCGTAAATATTGCATATTGCACAGTTGCATACCGATTCACCGCATTTCGTAAATATTTACGATCTGCGCGTTGTAGCGATTGTAGGCTTGCAATGTAAAGCTGAAAGATAGCGACATTAAAAGAGAGTATTATCCGTCTTCGCGACCTTTTATCCGAGTGCGTTTACATTACACAAATTGTTTTACGTCGTCGTAAAACGATGAAGAAAGTATCAAACATCGTTCAGAAGTAAAGTCCTAATTGAATTGACGTTCTTCACGCGCGCGAAGATATTTTTAGTCTCGTTGTAAAAGATTATTCTTTATGAAATAGCCTCAGCTTATCTCCCTTCCCATATGTCGAAATTAATTATTGCAACTTGAACACTTTCCCCGAATTTCAAAATTCTCTTCTCTTCTCTTGCGTATGAATGTTGCGATAACTACGTGTTCAGAGTTTATCGACCCTTTTTTCTTCCACTCGGAAAGTTCGGCGTTTTTCTCTAAGACTTCTTAAAACTGTAAAATATATCGTTAAACGACATCTACGGTATCTCGTTAGCGGTGTGATACGCCACACCAGCACAACGATAATCTATAATAATAAATGACATATCGCCGCCTTTACGCACTTTTCTCCTAATTTATAGACGTAATAAATATGCAAACGTGGCATCGGAAGAAACTAGAAGTCCTCGCGTTAAACCTGTAGTTATGCGCCACCACCACTTTCCAAAGAACGGGCATATAAAGTGGCGTCTAGCTTCCGGGAGAGATCGCAAAATTTTAATATATTCTTGAACAAATAAGATGTTGTACAATGTTTGCGAGAGAATTTTGCGAAATAAGATATTTATTTTGTTGAGTATAATAACATAAGAATTTTGTTATACATTATATAACAATTTCGTTAACTTGAAGAAACGTCGTTCAAATTGAAAATAATTCACTAACGATTGATAATTTATTTATTTTCAGTAATAAATGACAGAGAAAAAAGAATAGAGGGGGAGGGGAGAGAGAGAGAGAGAGAGAGAGAGAGAGAGAGAGAGAGAGAGAGAGAGAGAGAGAGAGAGAGAGAGAGAGAGAGAGAGAGAGAGAGAGAGAGAGAGAG